AGTTGAAACAGAGGTGCTCCACAAGGAAGCTGAGAAAGAAGGAGATAAGTGTAGAATTTCCCCTATGAGGACTGTCAGTTCAACACTTCAAAGTGAGCAGATTACAGTGCTAAAAGGGGGCATATTGTCCCCCACCTTCTGAAAAATATCCTTTCGCTACTTCTCTTCCCCCCGCCACATTACCAGTGCTTTTCAATTGATAGCTTAGCAGTATTAGTAATTATATGCAAATTAGCCTATGTACTGTCTCCCTTTGTTTGCTGTCTGCTGCTCTGTTGCTGTCAGCTGAGACAGACAAGAAAATTGGTGAGGCAAGGCTGCCTGGCTGGGTTCAGACATGGCAAGATGATATGATGGGGTTTTTTTTACCATTGTTGGTATGTGTTGTCTGAACCCAGTTGAAACAATGGATTGTTGTATGGTTTCTCTGTACCACCATGGTGTGTCATGTTGTCTGAACCCAGGATGATGGTTTCCATGGTTCTGATATGCTAGAACCACAGTGTCCTCTGGTAACAGTGGTATGTACAGGGGCAACTCTAGCCATCTAGCCTCTATGTGTGGACCAATAAGGAAGAGGCAGGTGACACCGGTGGGGAACAATGCACCTTAGGATCGAATTTCAGGCACAATGGTTGATGGGATACATGCCAATAAAGGGAGGACTGAGCACAGATGATGGAAACCATGATCAAGTAGGAACCACTTGTTTGTTGGGTAGATCATGGTAAAAGACTGCAAACCATGGTAACCACACAGGGTTGCTTGCCTTGTTGTGTGAATGCAACAAGGACAGCTGTAAAAGCGCAACTGCAAAAGACCACCTTTAAAAAAAAGGAATTCAAATGTTGTTGTTGTTAGTCGTGAAGCCGTGTCCGACCCATCGCAACCCCATGGACAACATTCCTCCAGGCCTTCCTGTCCTCCACCAACTCCCAGAGTTCACCTAAGCTCACAGCAACTGCTTCAGTGACTCCATCTAGCCACCTCATCCTATGCCATCTCCTCCTTTTTTTGCCGTCAATTGTTCCCAGCATTAGGCTCTTCTCCAGGGAGTCCTTCCTTCTCATTAGGTGGCAAAAATATTTGAGTTTCATCTTCAGTATCTGGCCTTGTAAAGAGCAGTCAGGGTTGATCTCCTCTAGGACTGACCAGTTTGATCGCCTCGCGGTCCAAAGGACTCGCAGGAGTCTCCTCCAGCACCACAATTCAAAGACCTCAATCCTTTGGTGCTCAGTCTTCCTTATGGTCCAGCTTTCACAGGCATACATTGCAACTGGGAAAATCATAGCCTTGATTATACACACTTCTGTCGGAAGGGTGATGTCTTTGCTTTTTAGTATGCTGTCTAGATTTGCCATAGCTTTCCTCCCATGGAGCAAGCGTCTTTTAATTTCTTGCAGTCCCCGTCTGCCGTGATCTTGGAGCCCAGGAAAATAAAATCTGTCACTACCTCCATTTCTTCCCCATCTATTTGCCAGGAAGTGAGAGGACCGGATGCCATGATCTTAGTTTTCTTAATGTTGAGTTTCAAGCCAACTTTTGCACTCTCCTCTTTCACCCGCATCAAGAGGCTCTTTAGTTCCTCTTCACTTTCTGCCATTAGAATGGTCATCTGCATATCTGAGGTTGTTGATATTTCTCCCAGCAATCTTAATTCCAACTTGTGATTCATCTTGCCTTGCCCCATAAATCTTACATTCCAGGTTCCTATGGAGTATAGATCTTTGCAGCATTGGACTCTCCTTTCACCACCAGATACATCTGCAACTGAGTGTCCTGTTGGTTTTGGCTCAGTCACTTCATTCTTTCTGGCGTTACTAATACTAGCCCTCTGCTCTTCCCCAGTAGCACCTTCTGATCTGAGGGGCTCATCTTGCGGCATCATATCTTTTTGCCTTTTGGTACTGTCCATGAAGTTTTCATGGCAAGGGTACTGGAGTGGGTTAACATTTCATTCTCCAGCTGATCACGTTTTGTCAGAGCTCTCTGCCATGACCTGTGTGTCTTGGGTGGCCCTGCACAGCATAGCTCATAGCTTCATTGAACTACACAAGCCCCTTCGCCACGACAAGGCAGTGATTCATGAAGGGGGAATTCAAATACAATTGTGCAATTTTCAGTGGTTCTTCACCCACAAAATTATCCACATTACGTTTTTTGAAGGTAAAACAAAAAATGGTGGTGAAAGAAAAGGGGCAGTGATCAGAGCAGGGAGGAGGTTACAAGATGGATTCTGCCATGATAGCCACCTGGGATACATGCTGCAGCTGGATAGAAGACTGAACAGGAAGGAGAGGGAGAACAACCTTGGGTAAGTCTGATGGTCTGTGGATCATAGTGTGGGTTGTTCAGTGACCACTTAACACTGCCCCCACATAACTTATTTGCAGGGTGGCTTAACATGATGTGCAAATGCAAAATTTGTGAAATTTGCTGCCTGTTTCAATGAGCATGGGAGTTATCTACACCTCACGAGGCATAATTTCTGGCTATTGAGAATGCTCAGGACGCATTGCTGACTCTTGTTCATAAGTAAAGGGACAAATGCTTGGACAGAATGACTCAGACTAAATGAAACAATCACAGTACTTCCTGTTAAATTGAAAACAGAGATAAAGGGACAGAGACATGGTCACAGAAGAGCATAGAGAATACTGCAACATTCCAACCTGCATTATTTATCTATGATAATTTTTTAATATTGCTTCACATTGCTATGGAAGTGGCACTCAACAAATCAAAACAGGAAATAAATAAAAATAAAGGCAGAAACATTAATAAGAGTTGCTGGAATGTATTCATTAGTCAGGATATGCTTGCTTGCAAAGAAACATCTACAAATGCTGAAAACAAAGGAACTGTTGCGAATGGTAGCACCAAACACATGTAGAGATTTAGTAGATCTTTAAACACAACTACCCTTTATTACTATACAACAAGCCTGACAAAACTTCTAGAAGCTGCTGCAGCACGCAAACTGCATCTGCTCAGTTGGGACAAAACACTAACACTTAACTACAGTGCCCCCGGCACACTTAACTGGAATGTAAGTGCATGTCTGATCTCAGCTGGAAAGGTTTTCCATAGGATAGGAAGCAACAAACTAGAAGCCCTTCTCTTGGTGGGTATTCCAACCCAAGCTGGCCCATGTCATGTGGCAGCATTCAAACAAAAACCGTAAGTAATTCTTAACCTTTTCCATTTCTATGGGATAAGAGCAGGGGATATTAATGATTCCCTATGCCAGTGGGGCACCTCACCAATTACAACTTTTTATTATATATTTCATGTCTATATTCCCCCATAGCTGAAACTTTCCAGGTAATTTACAGAAGTTCATGGAAACAATGCAATAGAATATCACAAAATCTTTTCTTTAAATATAACATTTATAAGCAAAATCAAACCAGCTGAAAAACAGCTTTTCTTTTCATTCTGCTAGGAACTTTCCGTTGTGCTGGACTCTACCCCGAGAACAGATTCTTTCCCACAAGGCACCATGGATGGTTCCTGTCAAGCTGAGAAGCCAGAATGGATGAGGAGCTGTACACACACCAGAGCCACCACCCTTTCCTGATAAAAAGAGGTACAGAAACAGGATCATCTCTGTATCTTATTATGCAATTGTTTTGCTTTTTGTGTATTGATAATATATGCATACTGTACAATATTGTAGTAGAGACCTATATTTGCAATGGTAGATATTCATAAAGTCTTTAGCAGCTTTTGCATATATAGGAACATGTGAACTGCCTTATATGAAGTCAGACTGGTCCACCTGGCTCAATATCATCAACACTAACTGGCAACTGAGAGCATTTTTAGTCTATTGTATTAAAAATGCATTACTTATTAATGTTTTGTAAAAGCAAGATTATGGTGTTCTCTAGGAGCTTCTCCCTTCATAAGCAGATTATAGGTGGTTAGATCATAGAACAAATTAGACAATTTAAATATTTGGAGATCTTTTTCCACTCTTGATTCTTGGCTGACCACCCATTAGACCCTTGCTATACAATCAACATCTAATTGCCCCAAAACTAGTTTATTTTTCTACTAGAGGGGGACAGCTTATTCCTGCTGAACTCCAAGTGTTTAAGACTAATGTGTCTAAGGCTCTAAGTGCTGTTTGGCATTTCAGTGTGTATTTGAGGTTTTTATTCTGCTCTAGAATAAATACTTTCAGGCTTTCTGCAAACACAAGCGATATATTTTTCTACTTTCTTTGGAGTACCTAATTGTATGCCACCAATGGTCTTAAGTTTGAGTTTCTCAAGGAAGCCCAGCACAAAATGGCTTGCTCCTGCCACTGCTGGGAAGCCTCAGATACCTGCCTAAAAGTGCTGACTGGGCACTTTTCAGCAGCTGATCCTTTCAGTGTTCGGCAAGAGAAGAAATGGGGGAAGATGGCTCAGGACCTCTGCTGTAGCCAGTTTTGGAGCGTATCAGGGGCCCAGGAAAAGGTGCCACTCTGCATGGCTTATAAGCCACCAGTGGCTTATCATGTTGTGCCAACCCACTCATTGTATCGCCCCCGAACCATTTTTTTTCCCAGCCAAACCTTCATTTTCCCACACGCTCTCATTTTCCCTTGTATAGCCAGCTGCAAAACTTTCTACTTTTCATTTCTCATATAACTTAAATTTTCCAGTTTTCTGCATTGGGTAATTTCTCGATCTTTCTACGTCCCCTAATACTTCTTTGTTGGCTACTCTCTCCATCCATGAAATGTGCAACATCCTGCACATACAATATCAGCACACAATGCACATGCTAATTTTACGTTTTTGTTACATATTAGACTTTTCATCTTTAAAAAAAAAAACGTCCTCCATGCCGCCTCCGCTGGAACTTATTAGCCCCGCGTCGAAAATAACCCGGAAGTTCGCTCTGCAGGCGATAGAGCTCTGCCTCCCTGTGGCGGCGTGAAGCGAGACGTCGCGCGCCGCCCGGATATAGTGCTCGGAGTGGGCGGGGCTTGTCCTGGCGACGGAAGCGATGGCCGGGCGTCCGCGCTGGAGGGACCCGGAGAGCGGCGCGAGGTGTGAGGCGCCCGCTCCGCCCTCGCGTCGGCCAGGGGCAGTCGGCTGATGTGATTGAGCGGCCTCGTTGCCTCTTCCCGTTGTTTGTGCCTGTGTTTCCCGGCAGAGGAAGGTGAGAGCTGGCCCGGGCTGCAGGAGCAGCCTCGCCGGTGCGGGTTTGAGGGAAGAGGCTGGCCGGCCTGCCGAGGCAGGCTGATGCGGGAACCGGTTTGTGAGGGATGGCACTGCTCAGTGTCTGGAGAAAGTGGGGCCGGGGCTGCAGTGTGGCTGGAAACGCCTCCTCCTTCGCTCCTTTCTTTTTCTTCTTTTTTTAGATCTCTAGCAGCTTTTCCTTCTCCACCGTCGCCCCAATTTCGGGGGCTCTCGGTGGTGAGGGAAATGCACTCTGCATCTGCTCAGGAGCCCGCTCGTTTGTTTTGCATGTACCCCAAAATGGAACTCTACTGCTGTGGGAACGGATGCTGGATTGGCTGATTGTGCCTCCGAAGGAGAGGAAGAAGTGGTAGGAGCAGGTTTTGCCAATGTTGGGGGAATGATATGTGCCTGCGCTTGCAGCTGTTTTTTAAGTTTCCGCTCTGAAAGGGTGATTCCTCCGTTGTAAACCGGTCGATGGCAACTTCCTTCCCTTTGCTCTGAGGAAGTAAAGAAGATGCATAGCACGCACCCCTACAGAGCTCTGGATCAGATTTAAGTTCTGGATGCTGGAGAATGCAGAGGAAGTACTTGAGAGAGAAGTGATACTGAATGAGAGGAGTCTCCAGAGTTGGGGCATAGCGTAGAGAGAAGCAGATTGTCTTACTGACTTCTAGGCTGGATTTCTTTTGCCAGTGGTTGACTGGCAAAAGAAGGTGCTCCCGTCTGTTGATTTAAAGCACCGCATTCCTAGCAGCAGCTGCACATCCCGTTTGTAATACTGGTGTTGAATGGGTGACTGTCTAATTATGTGCAGTGCAAACATTAGAAATGTTCTTGGTCTTTAAATAATTGTAAGCAGCTGGGTTAGGATGACATTTTTTGTTTGAGTTTAAATTTTAAAAAAGCAATATAAAACAAACTTTACAGTAAATATTGCTGGTTCCAGTTCTTCATACACTTCCTAGTCCTTTCATGGAAAGGCTACTTCAAAATAGGTAGGCTTGAAGCTTTAATCTTTTTTTAATTTATAAATACTTAAAGGAGTTCTAGAAGTTGTAGAATTTATTATATCTAACAAGCATAGGATTGCACCTTTTGCTATTTATAACAGTCAGCCAAAAAGGATTTTAAAATAGCTTATAAGATAAGAAATAAGATTGCTTGCAGGCTTATAAACTAAAAGACATGACACAAAAGGAAAGGGGATTGGAGGGCAGGGATTATGCACTGGTTTCTTACCAGCAAAGATAGGCCAGTATTGAATCCAGGTATTGTAGATAAAAGGTGAGACTGATCCCACCTCAGTATGGAAGTGAACAAAAAGTAGGCAAGAGTTCCACTTGTGAGCCTCTGGACAGTTTCCAGTTGAGTGTCCCATGCCTGCTGGTTGGTAGGAGTTTTAGGCTGATACGACAATGTACTTCTCATGTATTTAAGGACTAGTGCATATTTAAGATTACTTGACATGGCTAAGTTATGCTTTAAATATTTAGAGTTTTTGTATAGTTATATCTTAGCTGTGTAGAATTACATTCCTTCCACAATTTAAAACATATGAATGGACCACAGGAATTCTAGTAAAAAAAAAGTAGCAAGTTTGAAGTCTGCCTTCCTTGCCCACGTGACTGTGACTGCAGTTAAGTTTTGAAGTTGGGACTTTCAAACGCAGTGACCTGATTTGTGACAACTCACAGTATGTTTCGCAATTGTCCTGGCTTGCATATAAGAATAACCCAAAGTACAGGTTGACTGCAGTTTATGTGAAAAGCCTACATTGTGATTTAACTGTAGGTTGTTGGAGTGTGGTCCTATACATGCTGGTGTATCGTAGGGGTTCTGTCTGTCTAAACATGAATCCTCAGTTGCTGTAACATACCACCAGTTCAATAATGTGAACTTAAACTTGTATAAGTACATTAGGTACAATAACTTACCCAAAAACATTGACCTTGTATAGCATTTATCATCTATCTTCTATGGGTGTTTATCATCTTTTAGCATCTACTAGCAAAAATTTGTTTAGAGTTGCACTGTAGATCAGACTTGCCTGACCTGTATTGCAGCCTGTCAAGGTACCTGGGGCTCCAGTATCTACCTTAACTGACTAGTGCTTCAGAGTTTTTCTTGAAGCAACATTTTTAAAAGTAATTAAAGAAGTTTTTACAGCTATGTAAGCATAATCGAATGAACCTCATAGCCTGATTTCTTAAATTTCTTATATAGTAGGGTGACAGATGTTTGGTAATGGTAGTCTAAACATGTAAAAACAATTGCCTTTATGAGTTAAACCAAGATCTATTAATTCAGTATTCATTTTCCAAAAGTGGCCACCCAACACTTCTGGAAATGCGAAAGAAAGGCATTTTCCTGCCTCCTACCATTTGTATGGGGAGGCTTGAGCACTATTATTGCTAATACCCAATGATTTAACCTGGAAGAAATGCAGAATTAGACCAATTAAAACTTATCCAACAGAATGTTATCAGAACTACTGTGATTAAAGATCAGGGCCTGTACAATTATTGATACATAATCTCTAACTTGTGTTAGATGGTAAGAGTTTCAAAAATGTTCGAGTTTGGTTCTCTCACATCTGCATATTGGTTTTCTAAATTCAGTTGTGGTAGTGATTTGAAAACAAGGCAGTAAATACTTTTGATTTAACAGTGAACTAAAGTGTAGGCAAGAGTTGTTAAATGTGGGTTGTGCTTTATATACTTAGCAAAGGGGAAGCTTTGTCAGTAACTGCTAGATCCTTCTGATATCTGAATTTAGCTAATGGTTGCAGGGGGCAGGTTGGTTATATTCTGTATTCTGAACTACATGTGACTGCAAATCTCATGGTTGAACTAGAGTGAGTGATATCGACAGCCATGTGATTCTTAGTTGGCAGCAATATGTAGTTTTTTGTGTTGATAAGAATGTGGTAGATTATAGTTAAAAGCAAGTTCTACAAGTTTTACTGCTGCTAAAAGATGAACATTCTTTCTGTAACTTTGCTTAAGTACAATGTAGTACTGTTAAGTGTTCCCAACTTACCTGAATGATCTTGACCCTGTAGTTGTGCCTCAGGACTTCTGATAAAACGGAGTATGCTTCAAATGTTTTGGACTTCAGCTCCCATCAGCCCCAGCCAGCATGGCCAGTAGAATGCTGGGGATCATATTTCAAAACAACTGGAAGACACCAGAAACTAGTCTTTATTATGTGTTCCTTTGCAAATTTACAAGTAGAGTCTTAAATGGGTTTCAGCAGTTGCACTGCAAAGTAGTTAAATCTGCAGAATGTGCTTGCTCTCTCTGTCCATATTCAGATTTTCTACAACAGAAGAAATTTCTATTAATCAAGAAATATTTTTGTGTGTAGTTCTTGAACCACTCATTCAATGCCAGGGAATGAGCTCATTCACAGTAATTAAGACAACCAGATGTAACAGCAATTCCTTTATTCTGGGCATGCCTGGAAAAGGGGGCTATATCCTTTATAAAAGCAGGGTGTTACAGCTGTACAACAATCTATTGCTGTTGTGTTTGTTGAATCACTTGCTTGTGTTGTAGTAAAGAATCATTCTGCAGCAAGCTGACTGGGTAGAACCAGTAGGTTTTATTCAGTAGAACTGCTTGTTCTCAATACCCATTTCAGAAAACTGCTGGTATCGTGTGATGTGAGCATCTTCCTGTAAACTCATTAGCCATTGGCTGCTAAAGTGTTGGGAAGTGGGGGTGGGGTGTCACTTTCATCTCATCCTTTGCAGCACTCAGCTAAAACAGCACAGGTAGGCTGCAGCATAGCTGGAGCGTCTGTGAGAGGCAGTGTTAGGGATGATGGGAACTGCAGTCCAATGCGTCTGGAGGACAATGGGTTACTAGGATAGGCACTGCAGTACAAAATGCTTTGTACTTTACTGCTATGGTAGCTCATGGGATTTAATAATTTGTCAGCTGCTTTTTTCATAATCAACTATTGTCTTCCCCTGCCACCCCACCTTCAGGATAGGGGGCTGTCCATATTTGTTATATGTTCCAGAATGGGCATCTGCTGCTGCTAGCTCTTGAATTTTCTTGTCTAAAGCAGTTTATGCAGATGCAGATTTCAGCTTCTCATGCCCTCCTCAAGACAGAAGGTGACATTAGGGACATCTTGCAGCCACAATGAATACCACTGCTGAGGGACTACTGCTCTGAGTTTTTACTACTGCTTGGCTCCTTTCTAGGTCAGAGATGAGATAGGAAAAAACAGAAGTTGAAACCTTGGACTTATGGTTTTGTTCCTCCTTGAATGATATACTGGTAGTTAAGTTAGTGCTTATCATAACTCCCCATGTAGTTCACTTTTGGAGGAAGACCGGGTAAAGTCAGGACATCTAGTATGATATTTCTGAACTTTAGAAGGCAAAAGGAAGAAGTAGGCTGCAGTCTGGGGAATCTTTTAGTCAGGGCCTCAGACTTGCTTCTAGATTTGTCTAATTAATTCTGATATTGCACAAATGAGTCAAGAGAATAGAACTCCTGAGTAATCACCGGCCTGATTCAAAAGGCTGCTCAGTTTCTCCAGCATGTGAGTAGCCCCCATTATGTGATCTAGCACTCATGTGGAGATCTGGAGGACAAAAACAGGGAGGAAGAATCAAAGTGGGGGAGTTCTTGCCTTAGTCTTTCACATCAATACTCACGTAGATAAAGCTTAGTGAGAATCAGGCTCTACAAAAATACAGATCCTGCACTTTGTAATCTAGTTCTGCTTTCCAGAAAAAGCAGAACTAGAACAATTTTCAGAAAATTTTCCAATGCCCTAAATAATGTTCTCTAATTTAGCATATTTATTTGACTTATATTTACTCCCCAACAACATTCTCCATTCATAGGCATACCAGATATCTCATAATTAGTAACAGGAACTAATACTATAATCCATGTCAATTTTATGTGCAGTATAAATATACCAGCAGTGTTCCCAATAGCTAATAAAGTAGCTGAATTGAAATATTTGCTAAGGGATTACATTGATGGTGTGATATACTTTAATTGTTAAATTCCAGCACAAACTTTATGTGGAAATTATTTTATTAGAATATTTGTAAAAACATAAAGACAATAGCATATACTTACGATTGTTTATTATTTAAACAAAATTAATGTACCTGAAAGAATATCTTGATTTTAGGATACATACCTAGCTGATGAATCAACAGTTTAATCTCTTTAGCTTGGGTAACTATAGCACTGTCAGCTTTCCCCACTCTCTGCAGTGCTTATCAGTTCCATTTTGAGTTGGAAAAAAATCTGCTACAGAACAAGTAGTTGAACATTCTGTTTCAGAAAAGGAGAGAGGTGGGTCTGTGGGCACAGCCTGGGGCACTTGGGCAGGAGGATCTGTTGCCTGCAATGTCTGGTTTGTAGGATTCCATGTGCAGCTGGTTGGCCACTAGGTGAACAGAATGTTGAACTAGATGAACCCTTGGTTTGATGTTATTTAGTCACAAAGTCACATCTGACTTGTCACAGCTCCATGAACAACTTTCTTCCAGGCTCTCTTGTCCTCCAGCATTCCCCAGAGTCCATCCAACCCAACACTGACCACCCTAGTGACCCCATCCAGCCTCTGGATGGGGTCAACTTCTGCCATCACCTTCTCCTTTTGCCTCCAATCATTCCCATCAGGGTCTTTTCCAGTGAGTCCCTCCTTTTCATTAGGTGGCCAAAGTATTTGAGCTTCATCTTCAGTATCTGTCCTTCTAAAGAGCAGTCAGGGTTGATCTCTTTGCAGTCCAAGGGACTCTCAGGAGTCTTCAACACCACAGTTCAAAATTCAGTTACACAATTCAATTCAGTTCTTCGATGCTCAGCTTTCCTTATGGTCCTACTCTCACAGCCATACATTACAATTGGGAAAAACTTAGCTTTGACTATATGCACTTTTGTTGGCAGGATGATGTGTCTGCTTTTTAGTATGCTGTCTAGATTTGTCTTGGTTTGATATAACATGGCTTTTCTTATGTTCCTAAGTGAAGCAAACAGTAATCAGTCTTCATTTCTGTTTTCCTTCAGTTTTTTATCAACAAATGTTGGCAACAAAGGGCACACATGCCATGTTTAAGTCTGGCTCTGACCCAGCCACGAGTCAACTGCACTGAGCACAGGAAAGGGTTGTCATGCCCTATTTTTTCAGTTCCTTCATGGACAACTAAGCACTAGGGTTTGTTGTTGCTTTCCTTAGAAGACTAGCAGTTCACATCCTATATTTAGCCCATCTAATATGAATGACTGCAGTTTAGCAGCCAATACACGGAAAATCACAGAAGATGTGGAAGATTTTCTATAGAACACTATAGCATTCTTTTCCATGGAACTGTAACTCTGGGCACCAAGATTTAAGAAAGATGCAGAAAAAATAGACACAGTCCAGGGGAGGGCAGCAAAAATGATCTAGGGTTGTGGGAAACACTGCCCTATGAGGAAAAACTCATAGAACTGGGTATGTTCAGCCTTGAGAAGAATAAACTGAGGGCAGGGCTGGTATCACTCTATAAGTACCTTAAAGGCTGTCACAAAGAGGAAGGACAAGATCTCATTGATACCAGAATGTAGGGCACAGAATAAACACCTCAAGTTGCAACAACCCAGATTCAGGCTAGGTATCAGGAAAAAATTTCTCTCTGTCAGAGCAATGTGACAGTGGAACCAGCTGCCTAGAGAGGTCATGGGCTCTCCCACAATAGAGACATTTGAAAAGAAACTGGACAGCCATCTGACATCTGAGTGGGATGCGGTAAATTGGTGTCTGCAGTAGCAGGGAATTAGACCCGATGGCTTTCTTGGCCCCTTCCAACTCTACTATTCTATGATTCTATGTCTTTTTGCAATTGTGAAGGCTAGTTAAAGAGTAGTCTATGGAGTGTTTTGTCAGCTAGGAATCAGTGTTGCTATAACTTGAAAAATAGTTTATGACTGTATCCATGAGTTCTTTGCTCAGTTTCAGGCATGCATATCAATGGTGAAGGCAAATCTAGCATAAAACACCTGGTGTTATGCTTTATACTGATTGATACCGTGATCCATAGACAAGTTTATTTTGTCAGACTGGAACTGGAAAGATGTAGGTTTAAATCCCTGAATAACCTTGACATGTAGTCCAGGTAACAATTGCCTTTGATCCTTACCTGCTTTTCAGGGTTATACTTCACGGAGTTAAACCAATGTGATGTGGTGGGAAGAAATAACATATGTTGTATTGGCAGGCTAAAATTCTGTCAAAATAAAATTAAATTGGATTTACTGCAGAATAAGTACTTTGAAAATTGCAGTTTATATCTTTCTTCTTTCTGTGAACCACTTCCTCCCTGCTGAAAACAAAACACCTTGACCTTATTGTTTGATATTATACATCTTGTTGATCTCCACAGGGAGAGGTTAAAAAAAACAAAATAGGTTTTGAAAAACAGTGCCTTAGCAATGCTAATCCAATCTTATCCTACAACATGCTGATGCTTTCTCTACACTGCTTAATAATTATCTTTGTTTTTAAGGTGCAGAGCATGGAGAATGATGAACTTCCGTCAGAGGATGGGATGGATTGGTGTGGGATTGTATCTAATAGCAAGTGCAGCAGCATTTTACTATGTCTTCGAAATCAATGAGACTTACAACAGACTAGCACTGGAGCATATTCAGCAGCCCCCTGAGAAACTCAGAGAAGAAACCACTTGGATGCACTCCTTAAAAACACGACTGCTATCTGTACCCTTTTGGCTGTGGGCCATTATCTTTTTAATCCCCTATTTACAGATGTTCTTGTTTCTGTACTCATGTACAAGAGCTGATCCCAAAACAGTGGGTTATTGCATAATTCCTATCTGCTTGGCTGTTGTTTGCAACCGTCACCAAACGTTTGTGAAGGCCTCCAATCAAATCAGCAGACTGCAGCTGATTGACACTTAAGTCGTTCTGCTCTTTTCCATGAACAGTTTTAGAGAATCAGAAGATGGCTGGCTGTTTCAATTGAACATATGAATGGAACTTGAAATTCTTTTTGTCCATGTTAACTACTGAATAGAGCATCTATCTTTTTAAAAGGTTGATTTTAAGTATTGGTGCGTTCTATTTGCTGAAATAACAGTCTTCTTTGAAGCTAGAGGGTGACTTTTTCATATTTGCCTTATGATGCAGAATTTCTACACTATCCTGGAAGTTTTTGTGGGGAAATGTATATGAAACCTTCACTGTGTGCTCCCTCCCCAGCCCAGCCCTAACTCTTCAAGCTTCCCCTAAGAGGAGAAATGGTGAAAAATGACTTTTCTTTTGTTATAATGTGTACAATTTGGAATGATCATAAAAGTGGCATTTGAGACATTGTGCTTTCTCTTTTAATAATGTTGCACTCAATAAAACAGAACTCCATTCACACACGACTAAAAGAAAATGATCCTTTTCTTGTTTTTCCTACTTTTTCCTAACATCTATCCAGTAAAGCAATAATCAAATATTATGGCCAAATGTTAATAATAAACAATTTGATACATCAACACAATCAGCTGAAGTTGGTTGTTAAAGAAGGTTGTAAGTTAATTTAATTTTCAGGGAGGCTTGATACTTTAAAAGAGGAGTGGGGGACATAGTGCCCAGACAGATATTGGAGTTAAACTATCATCGTCCCTGAAGATTTGCCATGCTGTGCCTGATAAGGCATTGAAGTCAACACCTGGAGGGGCAAGGTTCCTGCTCCTGTCTAAAGTATAGTCCCATGCAAATATCCACACTGTGAGGTGCTAGTCAACCTCTCAATTACATGGCACCTGAAATCTGTAACATATACCACAATATAGCATGGAAGCATTTTTCTGTGGTCCATACTGGATATCAGTGTTAGAACATGTTATCAATCTCTAGTCTTTGCACTTGACAGGAATGTGGACACAACAAGAAGCCCAAGAGGCTGATCTAATGAGGACAGTCACAAAAGCATTCTGCTTGTTCCCAGATTTTCATCCTGGCATGTTCTTCCCTTCACTCTTTAAATAATAGCATATTGTAAGCAAGCTGCCAAAATGGGGGTGGGGGAGACTTATTTGTAAATTGCTTTAGTTTGGTTGTCTCACAAGTTGAAAGGCAGCTGCCTGTTTATCTACCCATTATACATATTGTGAGTGCTGAACTCTGGGAAGGTGGACTGGAAATAAGCCCTTCTCCTGGGAAGAGAGATCTGATTTCTGTGATTTCAACACAGAAATGCATGTTGAAAAAGAAAACAAATCTTTTCTTTAGTTGTCTGCAATGCTTTCTATAGAATTATTTTTCAGGGGCCCAGAACAGTTTGGGGCAATATTTATGTGTATCTGTTTGCTCTGTCCATTTTGGCATCTTGAGTCATGCATGTGTATGAAAAGTTAAATAAGATGCAGAGTAAAAACAAGCACTAGTATGCAAAAAAAGGCAAGTGTTGGAAAATACCACTCCTTTAATATATTTAAAATCCCAGAACTGGCTTCTGCTAATTTGTGTTTGATGTATTGATCTCAGAAAGCTAGTAACATTGAAGAAGCTTATCTGGAAAGCCTTCAAAAGAAAATTTTAAAAAAGAATGTTAATGGAGCTGGGTATTGTTTAAACTGCTTTTGAAAAGGAAGTAAGTATAATCTGTACCATCAGAAATAGAATGCCTTTCAGAGTTTTTTGGGCAGTACATAGTGGCTTAATTTCATTAGGGATGAAGGAATGAAAACATGTTTTAATGTATCTTTTGAGGATTCCGTGTAAACATTCTATTTGTTCATAACAGTAACAAAGTTTCCATTTTGTAGACTTTGTTAGACAATATTGCTTATATTAATACAGTTGACATGAAGTAAGTTCTTCTGAATAGAGTGCTATTGGAAACAATATTACATTGCATTTATATCACAATTTTTTCCTCTTACGAGGAACCCAAGGCAGCTTATATCGTCCCATTTTATCCTCAGAACAACAACCCTGTCAGGTAAGTTAGTTTGTGGGACTGACCAAGTCAGTGAATTTCATGGCTGAATGGGGACTAGAACCTGATCTCCCAGGTCCCCAGTCTAACTATAAAGTGTGTTGTTATGCTGTCAGTGTCTGCAGAAATCCTGTTACCTTCAGGGCTACTTCAGATATATCTGCAATATGCGGCATTGCTGAAAAGTTCTTATCAATGCTGATACGCTATTATTCCAAGCCTATTATTACAAGCTAACATCCAATCAGCTTGCAGTACCTGTGTGCTAACAACTTGCCACTCAAGAATAAGGACTGTCACATAAGTGCATGTTTGGCATGTGAACCAGCTAACGAGCCCTGTGCTTAATCTGCTACTTGCAATGCCACCAGCATATGAATCATAGTGGGTCCTACTGCCTTGAAGAATAAGGAATTATGATAGCACAAGTTAGGAATGCTTATGTACCTACAGGGCAAGTAGAATTAATTTAAGCAATGTTCTCAGTACGATTTCCCAGTGGCACATCTGTTGTACTTCTCAGGGAGTATCCAACTGCCCCTCTGTTAGTACACAGAGAAAGGATTAATTTTACAATATATTTGAGTATCAAGCTATGTAAGTCTTAAAGGGAAAAACAAATTGGCTGCCAGGTTTTGAGTGGACTCCCTTGCTAGCTCACAGAAAAGAACCCTTTTTGTAATGCTAACATTTCTATTTGAGCCAACTTCTCCTTTCCTCTTTCTGTTGCCACTTTACATTTCTAATTGGAACCTTTGCTGCTATTGTTCCTTGCCTGAATTTAAAATTCCCGAAGTTACATTATCAAACTTCATTCTTGATTACAGGCCAACATCTCATTAGACAGCCTAGTCTACTAACTCATTGTTACAATTAAACTCTAGAGCCTTCATTGTGGGTGGACTCTTTTTCAGCCTTGTTTTTGAAGCAGTACATACAAAGCAGAGTATAAAATACAACAATAAAAAATAACCATATCCTGTTACGTATTGTGAATATCAAAGCACAGCTTGGATTCTAGACTATAGGGCAAGCAATGGTTTGATGTGATATCTGAATACACCCTAAGCAAGATGGTTGGTGGCCAGTTTGCAGGGGATGCTGTATAAGGCGAGACTGAGGGAACTGGGTCTCTTCAGCCTAGAGGAGACTCAGAGGGGATATGTTGGCAACATACAGGTATGTGAGGGGATGTCACATGGAGGCGGGTAGAGACCTGTTCTCCCCTGCAGAGGAAGGCAGGACGCGCTCCAATGGAGCAAAGTTCAGGGATCCAAGGTTCCATTTAGATGCCAGAAGCACTTCCTGACAGTTAGGATCCCGAGGATATGGAATGAGCTTCAGTGGGAGGTGGTTGAGGCCCCATTGGTGAGGGTATTCAAAGATAGACTAGACATGCACATGGTGGACTTGTCATGAGCAGAGCTGGGAGTCACACTAGATGGCCTGGGAGGCCCCTTCTGACTCACTCTGTTTCTATGTTTCTTCTTACATAAAGAGGCAAGGGGCAGGTTCACACAGAATGAAAGCCTCAGTGGAAATTATGGAGGCATGGCTTATTATCATGTCTGAACCCAGCATCCATGCTGAAGCACAGTATGTTTGGTTTTCATGAAACCACATGGAAAAGCAACAGCTTGTTGTAAGGTTTCTTCACGGCTTGATTTTCAGTCTGAATCCAGTTGCCAGTTTACCATAGTTTCCACATTTCTGCCCTAGCTTGGTGGCAGGACTGCCCGTACCTGGAGCAGATAATTCTGTCTCTATTTTCCACTATTCTGTTCAGCCTGGCAACTGCTGTCACAGAGCCTGCCACAGTCTTCTGACTGGTTGCCGTGCACTGCTTTTTCCCTCTGTCGCTTTTTCAATACCCACCTGTAGGTTTGGAATCTCAGTGGAAGCAGGGCATCACTGTGTGAGACACTGTGTAATTAAGGAGACAAGGCTTAGGCTTGAATGCTTCCCTCACAGACTGCCATAGGTGAAAAACAGAAAGCTGCTGCTTCCATTTACAAGTAATTACAGCTTAATTTTATGTATGAACCCTAAGCTGTAGATACAATTAAGCATTGTTTAGAAATGCTTGTTTTGGTAAGCCATAGTTAAGAGTAACCATGTTTGTCTGGGTTCAGATGTAATGCTAAACTGCAAAAAAGGAAGGACCTGATAAGCGCGCGGCTTGTTCACATAATACAGTTAAGGCATTGTGTTCCATCTGAATGCAGTCTCTTTATTATGTAGAAATGGTACATGATTGATAGAAAAACCCAACATTTGTATACTTTCATTCATGATATGTCGTATTTATAGTACTTGCTACCCCTTGCCACTAGAAAAAAGGCAGGGTAGGTGGGCAGGCTCAAAATCTCCCTAAGTTAAGACATGTCATTGAATTGTACCTTGCATTATCCCCGCCTCACATCATGGGATGACATATCTGAAGGCCAGTATAGAAATGCTTTAAAAATTCTATTACATTTTGTGTTAAGAAGTTCAAGTAACTTACAGGGCAGCAACCCTAACATCCGGTTTTATCCAAAGAATGCTGTAGTTGCCAATCTTTCTTGCCCCAAATCAGTCTTTTTGTTGCAAAAAGCACATGCTCCTTCCCAACATTCACTTACTCTGTCTCACTCTTCTGAAGGGAAATGCTGAACAGGGAAGAGGGCATGTCTCCTCCTCTCCCCCTCTGTCTTTCCTGCTCTGGAACATAAAAGATCAGCAGTTTCTAGGTGGGCCTGTTTGACCCTACATGACTAAAACAGTTTGTCTTGTTCACACAGATGCCAAGCAAATCCTACAGAACTGCTCAAACAATTGCTCCCCACTTCTCCAGCTTTCGTTTTGGAGGAGAACTATCTACTTATCATGCTTGCCATGGTGAGCAAATATACTGGAGCTCATGTACTGAAAACTTTAAAAAACTCTCAGAATTAAATAGTCATCTTAAAATAGTACAGCCATCTCATACATATTTGTGTGAGCCATCCCGAGGCTATATAACAAGGGGACGGCATACAAAAACTTTAAATAAATAATAAATAAAATAAATACACATGCCATTTTATTTCAAACCATTTTTTAATTTCAAATGATAAACTGGTATCTTCTCTTTCATAATTAGTAACAGAAATAATTAAAAGGCCAGTGTTTCTAACAGAAAAAACCCAGCATATATCCTGTAGGAAAAGTTGTCTGTAGAATAAAATTCAAATGCTTTAAAAAAGATGTTTTTATGAGGAGTTTGTTTTTGTCCGTTTTAATGGTGGTCCACTAGGGCATGCTTTGACATTAACTTGATTTTCTTCCTCATCTTCATCCTGGTCATCTTCATCTTCTTCATCACCTTAAAATTTTAATCAGATCAATTGGCTAATTTTATATAAGAAAAAATACAAAAGCCTGTCAGATTTTCATTCTACATTTATTTTAGAATTCTGACATACAATTTTGATGTAAGCAAATACTTTATTACTTATACTTACGGGTGCAATCCTATACATACTTAGATTGAAAAGGCCTTACAACCACTAGCATTCACTTGTCAGCAAAGATGTAGGACTAAATATGCAAAGGAATGTACCCTGTGCAGCTATACATTTGGTGTATCCCAATCCTTCCCAGTCTGGTGTCCTCCTGATGCTTCAAACTTCAGCACCCATCAGTTCCTGCCAGTATGGCCAATGGACAGAAATGGGGAATTTTATTCCAAAACAGCTGGACAACACCAGGTTGGTGAATTTGAGTGTAGTCACTAATTCCCGGCACCCTGGTTTTGTTAGAACAATGGTTTTTAGTGTCAGAGGATGGCAAGATAGTGGTAAAAGGATGGACTTCTGTAAAATACACATGATTTAAGGGATACGCAAAATGCTCTTATAAAAGATCTGTCAATAGCCCTTACCTTAGGCCTAGGTTATGCATTGAGTAGATGGGAATAAGGTGGCCGGATGGACAATGGCACTTAAAAATTCTGGGCATGAGGCAACACTTTTTTAAAGCATTTTTAGCAAGAAGAGCATCCTCCCTTCAAGCAAAGAACTAGCAGAGCAAACAGTAGGCTCTTTCTCCCTTTAAAAATAATTTTCAGGTAACTATTTACATGAAGGCGCATCCAAAAATGCAAATTGGAGTAGAACAGACCATTCTACCATTATATCCCGTCTTTCTTAAGTAGGTTTGAAAGAGGTCCGGACAAATTCATGGGGAAATGGTCTACCGACGCATAACCACCTGAAGACCTCCACGTACAAAGGGAAGGCAACATCTCTAACACCAAACCCTTAGAAGCTGGGCACTCAAACAAGAGAGGGAGGTCTCCCCGCATGCACGCGCTAATCAAGACACGGGATTTGGGGCCTATTCCTCTGCCTTCCCGTGAGGGAGAATTCACGCCTCAGTCGGGGCCTGAAGAGCCGCTCACCTCGCCGGCCAGCGCGATCGCCAGAAGCACTCTCCTGCTCCACCAGAGGGCCCAGCAGCGCGCTCACTTGCTCTCGCAGCTGAGCCAGGCCGGCGACGAGGCTCCGCAGCTCTCCCTGAGGCTCGCAGCGAACCCGCAACGGCCACCTCAGCCCATTCCGATCGGTGAGTTCCGCCCGCAGCTCCATCGTTCCCTTCCCGCTGGAAGCAGGCGACCAATCGGATCGCAGGCAAACCGGAAGCGCCGGGCAAGAGCCCAGCAGCCTTCAAGTCCCGCCTGCTGAAGTCCCGCTCCGCGACCTCGAACAGCTCCTCCCACTGAGGCGTGTATAATATTGCGTGTTTGGGAGGGGCTGCTCCGGACGTATCAAACCAGGCATTGTCTCCACCGTCCATGTTGCCCACAGCTCTTTCTGCTTGTGATTGGCTCGCCGCTGTTCACGCGGCCTTGTTAGAGTCACGTGCCCCGTCCCTTTTGTTTTCCGTTTGCGTTTCCCTGCCTTCCTACGCCTGCCGTAGAGCGGTTTCTCCTTTTCCGCTTCCGGCGCGTGAGGGGCGCACTCTGGTGGCGATTTGGTGTTTTCCCGCCTTTTCTTCCTCTCTTTCGTCGGTGCTGTCGATACGGCGGGCTGAGGGAACCGATTGTATGAGTGCAATGGAGAAGGAGGCGGCGGCGACTGCTAGTCCGGGCCTGTCTGGTGGCGGGGACGACGACAGCCACGACGACCGCCATGCCGCTGGCGGCGAGGAAGGGGAGAGGAGCGCGGAGGAGCCTGTGGTGTCGCTAGCCGAGGTGCTGGCCGAGAACGAGGAGCTCGAAAAGGAGGCGCGCGCCGTCCTCGGCGGCAGCGACCACGAGCGCTGCAGTTACTCGCAGGTGAGGGGCGGGCGGCGCCGTCTTCGTCCTGGGAGAGAGTCGCCCGTTTCCCCACCCGGCTTCCCTCAGAGCTTTGGGTGCAACTCCCGGTATTCCTTCCTGTTGGGCGGATTAGTTGGGGCTGATGGGGCAGACACCAAAACACCTGGCGGACATCTCCCGTAGTTTTTTGGGCTTCAGTTCCCAAGATTCCTCATTACTGGCCATGTTGGGTAGAAAAAATAGGAACGGTAGTTAAAAGCATCTGGAGGAAACTGACATGGGGAAGGAAACTTTATGGGAATTCAGCAGGGGTGGGCTCGGAGGGAAGGGGAGGCTGCAGGTGAAAAGGAGGAGGAATGTTTGAACTCTTCTTCCAAGTGTTTGCTTTTGGTTTACGTAGTGAACATAGAATTTTATTTGTTTTCCTCGCTATGTAACGCAAACTACTTAGAAAGATGGGATATAATCCTCTAAAGAAATGAAACGTGGAAGCCAACCTTCCCCAACCTGGAGTCCTTCAGAGACATTTGGACCACGATTCCCAGAATTCCCACCCAGCGGGACCATTGACTGGGAATTCTGGGTTTTGCAGTCCAAACATGTCAGGAAGGCACATAGGCTGATGTAAGCTGTGAATTCATCACTTTATAGTGGCAGTAAAACAGCAGGGTGTGAATGGGAAAAAGTAGCTTGCATATCTTTTTGATTTCTCTCTGCTGCAAGTTTCTTAATTTTTCCATTAAGAACAGTGAGACCTTGGTGCTTTCGTATTTTCTTAGTTTGCTTCTGATTGTCTTATAACAGACACATAGTAGTTGTAATAGACCTTCAAAACACTAGTGGGGCATTAAATGAACTAGAATAGCTTCTGCAGTGTACGATTCCTTCCAGTGACCATTGGAATGCATTGGCTTTGATGAAGACTTCATCACACTTGAAGTAGATCTGTTAGAATCAGGAGTCGTATTTAAGACAATCACGACTATCTAGTCCCACTGATTTCAGTGGGAATGTATTATGAATGACTGAGTCTGGATCCAACCCACTGAATTTCTGAGTGGCCATTATCTCCCATTGCTACTCTCTTCCCAGACCTGAGATTATCCACAGTCACTGTTCTAGGAGTACATTTTGGTCAGTGCGCATCTTTATGTTCTGTGCTTGTTTGTCTCCAGTTGACATAATCTGTCCCATTTGTATGTTGTAGTTCAGCTAAAACTCAGGCTTCACCTGATTAGTTGCCATCATACAGGTCATCCTAGCCTACATATAATAACACATTGAAGAAAGGAGGATTTTAATGTCTTGTGTAATAGCAAGCTGGTTTGGATTTAGATTAAGAGTCCTCCTAAATGTAATGGGAATGGAAATGCATTAAGGCAGATTCTTTCTTAATGGTAGATCATAGTAGAAAAAGACAGGCAAAAATAATGAGTGATAGTTACTTCCTTTAACTTTCTCTTAATATTTAGGTAAGGATGCTTCTCTTCGCCATTTTTTGTCTGTCTGTGCTATTTTTAAATTTGTAGCCTGGTATTTTGGAAGATTAGAATTTAATAAACTGTTGGTATTTCATTTCATTCATATAATGCATCGCAGATAGTGGTTTCAGTTAATAAATATTCTATTGAATTGTTGAACATGATTTTGGAACATTGGAGTATGATAAATACATTGGCTTATGTTTTACAATATGGTTATTTAAGAACATAAAAAAACTTTGGCACCTTTTGTAAGAATGAAAGTCAGATTTGATATCTGTACTCAAGTTTGCTGTTTTTTCTATTTTGCTGTAATAGTGAATTCCCAGTATGGCATGTCTTCAGAATTTTCATTTTTATGATGCTGCTGTCTTTGCAGGGTGCTGTAAAGAGACAAGCTTTGTATGCCTGCAGTACATGTACACCACCAGGAGAAGAACCAGCAGGGATATGTTTAGCATGCAGCTATGAATGTCATGGCACCCACAAATTATTTGAATTGTACACAAAAAGGTAAAAATTTAAAGTTAGCTTATTTGCCATGCTTTAAAACATTAAACATTAAAAACACCCAAGAAATATGGAATATATAAATAAGTAGAATATTAAATCATGTAAACTGAGTAGTTCTTCAATTTTTTTTAATACAAGGAAATGGTTGATGAACCTTTGAAACTCTCAGGATTGTACCTGAGAGAAAAATTTGCTGAGGTCCAGAGGACATAGAAAACTATAGCATAGGTGATGTTGTGAAGCAAAATCTTTGAATGAGATAAAGGTAATTTAAAAGGTCCGAGGAAAACTATGAATTTTGCATAACTTAGGTAAACTTAAATTACTGTCACTGTAGCTGTATTTATGGTTTCTGAGCCTGCAATGAGACATAACCAAAATAATTAGCACTATGAACTAACAATAGTATAATCATAATTAATGCTGTAAGGGTACAATCCTGGCTGGGTCATACTGGGAATTGTAGGATATCTTTCTGTGCAAACCTGTATAGGACTGTGCACTAAGTTAGAGGATAGAGGTTTGTTGACTGTCTTTTCTGGAATGTACAGAAGCTCATAAGCCTACAGTCCCCACCTGAAACTCTGGCTTTTTTTCCTGTTTCAGAAACTTTCGTTGTGATTGTGGAAACAGCAAATTCAGAAATTTGCAATGCAAACTACTTCCTGTAAGTATAAAAATAATGGCAGCTGTGGAGTGATAGTCAAGCTATGGTTTCTGTACTATGTGAACCTTTACCTCCAGCCTTTTTCTCATATATGTACAAAACTATTCCTACAATTGGAAATTGTGAAGTTATTTTTGGGTACTGGCTCTGACCAACACTAGATGCATCAGTAACATACCCATATGTATGTACCCAGTTAAATGACGATTGAAGTTGCACTGGTACTATAGCCAGATTCATATTCACGTCTGGATTGGCTCTGTGCATGGAAATCTGGCTGGATTCTGGTGGTGTTTACAGATAATACTATCTGCAAACATGGCATTAATATGTTTTTGCTTCATCTGTTAAACTCACAGAATTCTGAAGCATACAAGAATGTTAATTTGGGTCACAGTTGCTTTATGTTAGCCTTTCTCATTGGTTTTGGGTATGAGAATTGTGTTCCGTACACATTCCATTTGGAAATGTCTGGTTTATATAAAGAATACAAGTACAGTAATCCAGAAATCCATTAGATCTTCATTAACTTCAAATGAGGAACATAATTTTTGTTGTTACCCTTGAATCTGACTTCAGTTTTAAATCGTTCTTCCTCTTTCTTCGCTTGTCCATTAAGTAATTTGCTTAAGGAATTTCAAATTATTTCATTATAGCAAACCTGAAGTGAGATTCAAGAAGGAACACTTGATATACATGCAACTTGGCAAAATATCATACTTCTCTTATGTTTTTTCTGGCATAATTAAACTAATGTGATTTAAGAGGCTTTTCTCTGCAGATAATTCATTCCCCCTTATTCTACTCAAAACACATGTTTGAATTTATTTTTAGGAAAAAGCAGCGGTGAATCCAACAAATAAATATAATGATAACTTTTATGGCTTATACTGTGTTTGTAAAAGGCCTTATCCAGATCCTGATGATGAGGTAAGGCACTGGTGTCTCTTAGCAATGTACATAAAATTCAAACACTGTGTATATGGATGTAGCTCTTAAAGTTTAATAATTTTACTATGTTTTTTAATGGATTTCAAAATAGGAAAGAAGAGTGTTAAGTGTGAAGTTGGAAAAAATGAAGACTACACTGTAATATGGACATTACTAGTGATTGTGTTGCACAAGATTAGAAACATCACAAACCTACAGAATTAAAAATGTTTGTGCAGTGTATTTTCTCATGTTATGTAGGCTAACTTATTCACAGAAATAGAAGAGGTGTTTTGAGGTAGCTAGTGAAAACAATTTGGTACTGTTTTCTGAAAAACAATAGTAAAGCTCATGCATTCAACAAGTGCCTTAAGTGTTTTCTTGTACTTGGCCACAGACCTGATAAGTAACCTGCATGTACTGAATTTTAAAAAAATGGGAAAGTTGCAGTCCTTTGGAAATTTAAATTTTATTTTAAAATTTTAAATTCTACTTTTCTGACCAGTTTAAAACAATCTTCAATGCAAATATTTAAAACTATACAGTTAAATGGATACAGAAAGAAAATGGCCAGACAAAATCAGCTTTGAAAAAAAAAAAGCCATTAAAAGAATGGCACAGATGGGGCTCCTATGCACCTCTTGTCAGTGGATGTATCAGAGAATCAGCTGTGAAAGGGGCTGACTTAGCTTTCACATTGGATGGATTCTGTGGTGGGACTTTATTAATAGACCTTAAATGCTAGGGAGCTCTATATGGGAGGAGATGTTCCCTGATTGTGACCTATTTAAAAATTAACAACAGCACTTAGAATTCAACACTTGACAATGAACTGGACGTCCATTTTAAAAATATGTGACTTATCAGAATGCTGGCTGGGTTTGGTGAATATGCAAGCAGCGTTCTGCACTCACTGAACCATCTTTACTGTCCGTCTCACATAGTTTTAAATGATATGTATATTTGTAACACCGTGGCTTCATCTTCAGATTCCAGATGAAATGATCCAGTGCATAGTTTGTGAAGATTGGTTTCATGGAAGGGTAAGCACATTGACTAAATTCACTTCATTAAATTAAAAGGGATGGAAACATAACCATAATAAATGTGCCCTGTCAGACCAGATTTTTCTGATTTGTACTGTGGTAGCAGTCCTGGTCCTCCTCAATTCAGAATGGTTACATGGATCCAGTAGGCACTGCTTTTGAATAAATGAGCTTTGGTTTCAAACTGCATGGTTTCTCATTAGCCAGTTACAGCTTTGTTTATTTAATTACTTTATTTAAATGACTTACTTGCTTTCTATAGTGCCCAATAGCCAAAGGTTTCTGGGTGGTTTACACAGTCCATAGAATCAGACAATAAAAGTACAATAAAAATAACAAAAATCAGGAAAGAAATTAAACAGTTAAAAAGTAAGCTAGCCAATTAAGTCTTTATAAGCCTTAGATAAGAGGGTTGTCTTAACCTGGTGCCAAAAAGATGCCAGCCAGGCCACAGTGGGGAGGTTGTTCCATAGACAGGGGGCTACCACCCAAGTCCTTGAAGGGTTGAATGTCAGTGGCAAAAACTTGAACCTGTCTCAGTATTTAGTAGGAAACCTGTATTGTTCTTTTAGTGCAGGTGTAATGTGTGTATAGCTAAGGATGCCACTGGTCATTCTAACTGCAGCATTGTGCAATAATTGCACCTTCTGAACCAGGTGCAGAGAGTGCACATAGAGAGCATTGCATAGTGTAATCATGGGGTTACCAGCACATGAATCACCACAGGTGGGCTGTCTCTATCCAGGAATGGGCATAGTAAACACACCAAGTGAAATTGGTAATGGGTGGATCCCAGGACAACTCCCAAAGTAGGTACCTCATCCTTCAGAGGGGCTGCAGCCTCATCCAGAACTAGCAAACAGCTCAGTTACCAGGTCTTAGAAAAAAAAACAGAGACTTCCTTTTTGCAAGATTTGGCTTCAACTTATTAACCTTCATCCAAGCCATATCTGTATCCAGACACTGGTTCAGAATGTGTACCAGCGCTTCTGATTCAGATGTCACAAAGAATGAGAACTGGATGTCATCAGCACAAAGGGAACCTTTGCTCCAAATTTCATAATGATTGCTTCCCACAGCTTCATACAGCTATTATGTCTTGAATGCTGCTTGTAATACAGTAATTGCTGAGGTTTCCAATCTGCCATCAGGTACAGATATATAGGAGCATTTTAATCTTTGTAGCTTGAGGAAGTAAATCAGATGTTTTTAGCAGATGCTTTTAACCTTCCCTTCTGACCTTTCCTATCCTGACTTATTTGAACTAACCAGTAAGTTTGCTTAGGGGGATCTGGAGTGTGGTTACTGTCTCTTTGTGTGATGCCCACCACTTTGAGGGAGGCAGTGGTAAGTCCATTTGTGAAAAATGATATTTCCCAAGGCTAATTCCAACTACTGCCTAGTCACTAGTACCCCTTTTCTGGGCAAGATATTTGAGAAGGTAGTGGCTAGGTAATTTCAGGTATTCTAGGAGGATGCTTATTATCTCAACCCATTTCAGTCTGGACACAGGTCTGGTTTTGGAATAGCATCAACTTTGGTCAACCTGTTGGGTGACCACAGTTATGCTACCTCTGTGTCTCTTCCTCTTGTGGGAGAGACGGAGTGCAACTGCTGATCCTGCTTGATCTGTTAGCAGTGTTTGATATTGTTGACAATGCTATTCTTTAGATTATCTCTGTGAGTTGGGAATTGAAGGAACACTATATAGTAGTTCTGTTCCTATTTACAGGAAAAGTTCCAGAAGCTGCTGGAGTTTGTCCTTGGCAATTTTGGGGCTCTGTTTCTCTGTAGCATCTGAATTAGGAGAAACTGTGTATGTTCTGAATTGGTATGTGGAAGCAGCGATGGGTTGGATGTGGGCCAACAAGAAAGGTAGAGTCTGTTTGGGTGAATGTTTCCCAGGAATTGAAAGCTGGTAAGAGATTAAGAAAAAGTAGCAGAGTCCCCTGTCCTTTTCTCAAAGAGTGAAGGTCATCAGAGCGACCAAAGCCCGAGGAGAATGGATCAAGGTAATCAGTGTCATTCAAGAGTGTCATTCAACTATGGGGTATTTGCAGCTAGATGATAATTAGCATGAAACTCTGTGTCCAGAAAGAGTTTTCAGGAGTAGTTGCACCTACACCATCCCAGATACATCTGGTCAGTCCCCAGCAGTGAGCAATGGGCAGAGTTGGTACAACTTGAGTTTAGGAATTGCAGACTCTGGTTAAAAGGGAAGATTTGTGAAATACATTTTGGTCGTATGAGTGGCTAACTTATATTGGAACTGGGAACAGGTTAGAGTATGGAATGTAGAAGTAGAGATATGATTACTGATGCTTAGCTGTCAGGATTCTATGTTCCCTAATGCCTTTTAACCCATTAATTTTTAACTAATATATCTTTGCTTTATTTTCTGTTGTCATGTCTGCAGCATCTTGGTGCACTCCCTCCAGATAGTGGTGACTTTCATGAAATGGTGTGTCAGACTTGCATGGATCGCTGTCCTTTCCTCTGGGCATATGCCTCACAGTTAGCAGGTAAGGAGAATAAGGACTGCTGTTACAGTAATATTTTCATCCTGGAGCATCAAATAGATGTACTTCTCTCAGCTCTAAAATGTAAATATTAAACATACATATTTGGAAGGAAAGTCTAGCCCAGGGTTCTCAAACTTGCGGCCTGTGGGCCATTTGTCGGGGTGGGTGGGGCACGGGGGAGGGGCCCTGCGGCCTTCAAAGCGCCAGCGGCGCCCAGGCCGCCTCTGGATGAGCGGCCCACCACCACCACAGTGGTGGAATACTTGATGTGGCCCAGCCTCACCCAGACTCGTACTTCCAGTGGCCCCCAGGTAAGTTGAGTTTGAGACTCCTGGTCTAGCCTGAGTTTCTCATAGTCAGAGATCATCTTCTACTCACTAAGTGATCTATTCAACCGACAAGTGATGCATTGGAACTGCAAACTCATGCAAAGATGTGGCTCATCTTTCTTGAACTAGAAAAGCAAGGAAAGGAATCCCTGTGGATTTTACTTTGCTAGCCAAAATGTCCATAGGGGGCAGAACTTATCTCTGTTTCATCATGAGCTTTAACAGAAACATATTTTGTAATTTTCAAGTTGATAGAAGGGGAAGGGACAGTCTTATGTAAGATTGTTGTGAAGAATGGGCATTAGAGGATGGGATATAAATTCTTGTTTAATTAAAGTAGAGCACAAATACACTGTTTTCTGAAAATTTTAGTCAGGGCATATTTTTCCTTTTACTTGTCATAGTAGTAAGATTTTTCATAATTCAATGAAAGCAAAGGAAGTATGGATTTTTCCCTGTTAGGGACAAGACACAGGAGGCTAAGAATGCTGGGTTATATTATAATAAAAAGTATGTGATTGTAATTTGCTATGTGATTGCAATGTACAGATAAACTAAGGCAGTGGCACCTCCTAGAAAATAGGGTATGAAGAAATTAGTGATGAGCAGCATAGAACTTGTTAACAAAAGTTAGACTTAGTATATATGCTGACTCTTCACTGTAAACGGCAACACTATTATTTGAGGGACAGACATGCTAATACAGGGTATGTGTGTGTCTTGCCTGTAGTTCCCACTGTGAGCAAAGTCACTCCTGCAGCTGAAGATGGATTAATGCTGAACGTTGAAGAAACTGATGATATAAAAAAAGAAAATGGTACTGATCATCAAACAAAAACTGAGGAAGACCAGATATCACAAAACAATGAACCATCCACTAGCTCTGGGTCTGAATGTTCTGAGGTAAGCCAGTTTTTTGCAGGTTATGACCAAAAGCAGTTCCTGTGTTTGTGCTCTGAGAAAGAGGGAGGTAGTTTATATTTGTCTTTTAATGCCATTTCTGCCCAGTTTTTAAGAGCAGGGTGTGTTTGCTGTATAGCAGTTGGCTTGCTTTAGACTTTCAGGAATGTCTTGGGAAGGTCTGGTTACCTCTGGCCCGCAATGGCCCATGTGGCTCCTGGCTGTCCCTCTTCCAAGAAGTAGTTGAGGAAGCGGGTTAGGACAAGATGCATGCAGTGCGGGCATGCCTCTAGCCGTCCAGTTGGCAGATCAGGGTGACTGTAGTGTACACTCAATGACTCTGAATGCACTAAGCAACCCAGACTGTTTCCCTCCTTTCCAGTTGCTTTTCTTTGGCAGCAACCCTTGGTTGACTTTGAGACCATTCTACCATGTTTCAGGTAGTTGTCAGCTTGTCAGAATAATCACTCAGTATTTTGTGTGTGTTTGTGTTAGTGTGGTAGAACTCTTCCAAACCACACATTATTTTATGTGTACCTTCCTGTGGAATTCAGGAATCTAGCAGCAACTAGTTTCCTCCCATCCCCCCTTCTTGTGTGTTGCAGCTTTTAGATTGTAACCCTCCAGGCAAGGACTATCTTGCTGTATCTTGTAAGCCTCTCCAAGAGATCTTTCCTCTTTTTTGACTGAAGACTTAGATAAAAATCTGTAAATCTACATTAGTAGATTCTGTAAATCTTGACAGACTGTGAGGGTAATGAAATACAGCATAGTAGAGTTGGAAATAGACAAAACATATATTTGAGGGCATTTATTTCATGTGATTGAATATTCTGGTATTTTCTCTCTGAGAAGGTAGCTTAGAAGTCTTCCATTAAGATTTGTCTGTGTGAGACTTTTATAAATATAATGTGTGGGAAAAACATAGTAATAAAACACTTTGAAAACCTAAGGAGAAATAAGTGCAATTTAGGTTGGTGAGATATTTAGTGCTCTATTCCTTTTCCTGATACACTGACCCTCAGTCCAATCCATGTTCCATATGCACAACCTGTATATAAAAATGAGAAAAAATCTTAACTTTTTATTTTAATGCAGAAAATTACAAATGAAGCACCCCCCTGCAAGCTGCAAGAGCTGCAAGTGAAGCAGTACCTGAAGAAAAACACAGCTACTTTCTGGCCACACAACTGGCGGAACAAATTGTGTACCTGCAAGGAGTGTGAGGTAGTTCTATTTACAACTGCAGCCTTCATGTTTATGTGTAGACTTCTCTGTAATACAGCTTATTTGTAAAACTGCACATGACTGAATAGAAATGGAAACCAAGAGAAAGCATCAATATGCAGCAAGTGGACTTGACTAGTCTTAAGAAAATGTAATAGCACAGGACAATGTAAAAAGAAAACAAACCATTATTGGTTGCTTGTAATTAGTATATTCCATTAGAATTTGAAAATCTGGTTATCCACTCACCATGTAAGTCTGTCTTTCCTGATCATCAGGCTCACCAGGTTCTGTGCCTGGTTGGTGGAAAGAGGGAAGAGATTCAGTTAGTTAGGAGGCTTTCTACTTTGCCGCCGCTGCGTGTGCCTCCGTGGTTGTGCCTTCCTTCAGTTGCTCGAGGTTCCTTGTATGGCTTCTGCCTCTCCTTGATGTCGTCTCCATCCTGGGGCTGAAACTTTAAAGATTTGTTGCTACTTTCTGCATTGCATTTGAATTATTGAGGGTGTTTGGTGAGTTGGGGTTTTGAAATGTATTATGTTTTGGACCAAGAAATCCTGACAGGTCAATGTTTGTCCAATAAAAATAAACTTATTTTTCAGAAAATGTACTCTGAACTTGAAGTCCCATTCCTGACAGATGAGTATGATACAGTCTTGGCTTATGAGAATAAAGGAACAAGTGACCAGGAAGCAGACAGGAGAGATCCTCTAATGGACACACTGAGCAGCATGGATAGGGTCCAGCAGGTAGAGCTCATTTGTGGTAAGTAACTGCAATGTACAATTTCAAAATGAAAATATAATATCAAGGTGCAAGCATATTTTAATTTTGCTATTTATTAGCTAGGCTTGTTACTTGAGCTGTGGATGTGAACTGGTGAGAGATGGGAGAGCTGACTTCCGAACTTAGTTTTTGTTGATACAAGCCCATAGGTGTGATTGCACAGAGACCACGAAGAACTATCAATACTACATAGTTTTATACCAACTCATTTGCAGCAGAATCTATTTTTAATAGGTCATTCACTTTGCTGTGAGCATCCTTTTCAGTCCATGAGATAAAATACAAGTTACTTATGTTAGGCAAATGTATGTCTTATTTGCATAACATAGTCTCCTTCTGTTAACTATGGAGAGACACAAGTTTATAGCACACTGAAGCCCTGAATGCTAGAAAATGTATGTAGCAGCTCTCTGCTTGTTGGCCTATGTTTCTCCACATGCTTTCAAGCATAGCTTTCTCATTATTCTCTGCTTCTAGACTCAAAAATATTTTTCTGTTCCTAGTTTTACTGGATTTTGCTTTTAGTAGTTTTGATTTTTAAAAATGTAACATTTATGTTACAAGCACCATTGAGTGTACACCAAATGAACTCAGACCTGTAAAATAAAACTGTAAGGGTAGAAAGTTTCAAAACCGGTATAGTCTGCTAATAAGGGATATTTAAGTCAATTTTCTTGTATCAGGCTGGAGGACAGACTAAAGTTCATTGGCTGAATCTTTTAGACATAAAGTTCTTCAGTATTCTGATTCCCATGACCTAAGAGGCTTGAAGCACATCCTTTCTGACGTGCTTATTTAATGGAAGTGCACCTCAGTCTGAGAGCCCTGAAGCCCTGGCCAGTGGAAATGCTATACAATACTAGGTGACATTTGGTTCAATTAGTGTGCTGTGTTTTGTCAGTCCTGCAGTAGTTTTGTTTTGATGTATTAGACAATGCATGAGGAGGTGGTCTGGAAAACCTTAGGTTAGAAAAGTTGGGTAGACCTCATTAATTTAAGATCTGCATTAAACTACTTTTATGTTAAAGGCAAAGATGCTTAGAGGAGCATGGAAGTAGAGGTGCAGTAGGGTTAAAGCAGTCAATGCCTTTTTACTGGATTATCTTTGGCTCTAACTGGGCAGGCATTCTGGACAAAAGAACATATTTCCTAAAATAAAGGAACAATCACAGTGCAATTGTTTTTAATTCTCTAGAATACAATGACCTGAAAACAGAATTGAAAGACTATTTGAGAAGATTTGCAGATGAAGGAACAGTAAGTATGTAATTATAACTGAAAAGTCTTCAGTGTAGCCACAGATAATTATGACCATGTGAAAATCAAAGTTGAGCAGGAAGTCTGCAAATTAGAAACAAAAACTGTTTTGTTCAACCTTTATGGCCAACAAGTTTTTTGTGCCATAACCTTTTATGAACAATAGTATACTTGATCAGTTGCTTAAAGTATTATCCGTTAGCAAATATAACGACATACCATTATAAAATAATTTACAGTTTACTGTTTGAGCTGATAGTTGTGTGCTCATGAGTAGGGTAAAATTATGACTTAATCTCACTTTAAAAACATGGCAAGTAAAGTGCACTAAAGTTGCTGTGGTAGCAAAGCTTGTTTTACTTCATCTTCCATATTTAGTAGCCAGTTCCTAACCAAAGGAAAGACTACACTATCCCATGCAATCCCCCGACCCTTTGTGGAGCCCTTGTTGATTAAATCAGTTTTGTAATCAGCTAGGGAGATTGCAGCTAATAAGATATTTGATGGCAGCTATGATCTTTGCCAAATAATGGTTCTGTTGCAAAATATAAAGGATATTCCAAGATAATACAGGCCTTTGCCCTACTATCAAGCTATTCCAAGTATATTTTTACTTGGAATACAGGAGTCTTCTAAAACTTAAGAACCACCAGAAAGTTTTAGGAGCCAGATAGGACAGTTAGCAAGGCTGGGTGAGGAGGCACATGTGTTTTAAGTTACTTGGCGAGGGGGGGGTGTGTGCAGTGAGGTGACCAGACTGAGAAATTACTTCTCATTCTTGCCTTATGTCCTTGTGTTCCTTCCTGCTGCTAAAAACAAAGGTGGGCTTCCTTCTCAGGAAAGAATTAATGAACAAAGCATCTTTGCTGTTTACTTTTTCCCTGGCAATTGATATTTAAAGGGATTTGTAAGATGGCAACTAGGAAAATTTGAGGTGGTGACAGTACAAGTAGTCAGGTCAGTAAACATTCTATAGCGGGGTTTCTGTTGTAAGCAGGTTCAGGCTGCAGTCATTGAACTTAATAGTTACTTCTAACTAAACAGGCCATGCAATACAGCTGCCCCTTTACAAAGTTCCTGGCAGATCTATTACCCAAGTGATATTCATGGGAATTTGAAATTTAATTCCTTGATTACAGTTATAAAACATTCCCTAATCCCTATCTTTTAATGTCTGGATACGCAGGAGGAAAGGATTATTACATTACTGAATTTTGTGTTGAAGAGGGAATAGATGTTGTTAATGCATGTGTGACAAAAATGCCAGAGCTGATACTCTGTGTTATGGGAAATTTATTATCCAGTTCATCTGGTCAGTTTAGCTTTTCCCTTTTTGTAATCAGGAAAGTGTGTATGGGATTGAAATCTAAATGAAATTCTTCTCTGAGTCTGGATGCACTGAAAGAAAAAGATATACAATACAGTCCTATGCCTGTCTATCCAATGTGCAACTGAATTTTGTGGCACTTATTCCCTGTGCATGTGTATAGGATTGCAGCCTTAGTTTTGGAAGGTCTATCTATCATGTGGCTGCTCTACCCTACTAGGGGAAAAATGGTAATTATTTCTATATGAGAGCAATTCCCTGCAATGGTGGAGTGTCGGCAAGCACAAAACAATTCTGCTGTTTTTTTTAAACCCTCTTTGTTAATAACCTCATACATTTTGTTAATTCAGTTTTTTCTACTGCAGTCTATTCTGCATTGTTTAACCAAGAGTGGTTTCAAGAAGACAAGCTATGTATAGGAGCACAGTGTTCACATGAATGAAGTGATTAAGACCAAAAAATGTAAAGTAAAATGGAGGCAGGGAATCCTGTGACTTTGATAAAGAATCCTGTTGCTGTTATAAACTGGCCACTTTGCTTAAGACTATGACCTAGTTTGTACACAGTGGTGGTAAACACTAAACTACTTTTTACCAGTTTTGTCCTATTTTTACTTCATGTAGTAAGTGTCTGATCATGATGTGTGAACATGGACACTCTGGGGGTTGTTCACTTCAGTCATTTGCTCTAAAAGCTGATGGGTTGTCAGTGATACACTCTTCCATTTTATGCTACAACTCATGATTGGTTCACCAAGTTTTAAGCTACCTGTGGGTTGTTTAACCCAGGATTAACCTATAGTGTCTGAGATCAGACTTCATAAAGCAAACTACAGTTGGAAGCTGAATATAGACCTGGCACATGTTGTACCAGTCATTAATTGATTAACCCAAGACTAGCTGCCATTACCTGCTAATGGGCCCAGGTTTGTATGTTGCACAGCAAACTATAATTGGGCCAATGTGAGTTTTAATAATGCAAAATGGATGCAGCTCACACACAGCATGCAAATTGTGGGGTAATTTATTCATTAAGTTATGTTGGCCATAGCTGAGTGTGAATAAGGCTCTTAACTGAGGGAGCTTTCCTTAATAGTATTTAAATATAAGAATAGTATTTCAAACACTGATATTTCAGGAAATAGATGATGAATCACATTGCAACTCAAATCTTTTTGTTCAGTCTGTTCTTCACAGTGCTGCAGGACTGCTTGTTACTATATTTAAAATGCTTGTTGCTATGTTTCAGTACTCTCTTCCACTGATTTTGTGTTTGCAAACAGGTTGTTAAGAGAGAGGATATTCAGCAGTTCTTTGAAGAATTCCAGTCTCGAAAGAGGAGGAGGACAGACCGGATGCAGTACTACTGTAGTTAGATTATCTTGGAAGTCTAAAGACAAACTTTTTCTCTGTTAGCTTTTTCTTCTTCCTTCCCAGTTTAATGCAACCATGTTCATCTTGGCTTCTGTCCTGCAAGACAGTGCTTTTTAGTTTGCAGCCTAAACATATGCTCTAATTGTATGACAGCTCTGCTGAAAAGTAGTAAGATCATGAATTTACAGAATGTCACTTACTTTGTGTGGAAGAATGGTGAGGTGTTTGAAGTTTATACTTGAGAGGATTAGCAAGCGTCCTAAGCTGCTATAGGTAATGAAGATTTTTTCATGTGATTAAGATGAATAAAACTGGTTCAGTGTTCAGGCTCAGGGTACTCTTTTTGATAAAGATCTGTTTTTTAGTGCAAGAGTTCATACTGGCTTGGTGTAAGTATATGACCTTAATTTTTGATACAAAGCAGGTTCTGTTGCCTATTGCTTGTTAAAGGCCTCACAGGACCAGAACGTAAATCTCGGAACTTGTTCAAGTATAACTTCTAGCTAAAATTAGAAGTGAATGACTATCCTTTTTGAGACAGGAGTGCATATCTCAGATGGAATAAACTATTGTACAGAATTTTGTAGTGAAGTTACTGCCTATGTGTTAATTTCCTGCCCACATAACATGTAAATAAAATGCTCTTTGCTGGGTGGTATACTTAGCTAATAACTTTTTTTTAGAATGCAAAGAATCTCAAAGCTTGCATAATAGAGCTGCTTTTTTAGTTTGTAAATGTTGAAGGGGATTAGCCTACAATGCTGTTTACCAAACTGTAAAATAAGATGTTGTGACCTTTTGTAATCACTTTAGATAATAAACCTGAGCCAACAATACTGCTGATGGTTTTTAAACCAAATTTCAGAAGCAAAATGGTTTTCTATTTCTTTATTCTCTTCCTTACTACTCAAGCAACTAATTCTTTAGTGAACTAATTCGTGAACAAACTAATAGATTGTTGTCTTCTGGCCCTGTTTGCTTTTAATATCACAATAAAACATTTGGTTGCCAGTAGTGGTGGTGTTGAACTTTCAAATGGTGGGGAGCCAGAGCTGAAATAAATCTGACATTATAGCCGAGTTTTTCCTGAGCTCAAAAGTAAGTTTGTTCAGAGCTGCCCTGCTCCTCATACTAACTGGGGGTGCTACTCAAACTTTGACTAGATTTCAAAGCCTTACTACTCACAGGCCAAGACCTGTCTTTGATAACCCTTTATAAGAAGGCAGAAACACCCAAGGATGGTTTCACCAACAGTTTTACAGTTGAGTTCTTCTAAGAACTCACAGATTGATACTATTGGGGGCTGCCAATTAGTTTGGTTTAAATTTATATTTAAGTTCTAACGCTAAGATCTTCAATTTCTCAGACTGCCTTCTTGAAAAGATCAATTCTGGCATGAGTATCTGTCCTAAATCAGTCAGCTCTCGGCAGTCTCCTGTAATACTCATTCAGCTCAATTGTCATCTGGCAGAGCAATCTGCACTAGGAGTGTTGTATATTTATGTAAAACATTTGCCAGTCTTGGGATGCATGCTAATGAATCCTGTACAGTTGCCACTGTGTTGCGAATGTAGTCTTGACAAATTCCAGGAGCTGGAATGATATATACAGGGGAAATGGCTAAGATTCAGGTTTTTTAGATGTATTATGCACAGGTTTACTGCTGTGAAGGAACAGAGATTTTAAAAATGTAAGTCCTAGTTCCTTTCCAAATCCCAAAGTAATTCCTCCCCCTCTGACTTTTGGAAGAGTAAACGCCATTGAGAGCAGTGTGATTTACTTCTACGTAGTTATGAATAGCTGTGTTTTCAGCAAGTTCCTTGTAGTGCTGAAGCCATTTTTCCCATGCAGGTTTAGCACGCAAATATACTGTGGAACTAATGCGGCATATAAAAATGTGATGCTTTGACTGCTCTGAGAAAACTGGGTTGTCATAGATGTATTATGAGGTCCTCGGTTTGAAGTTTACATTGTGCGATATTCAAATGAGTCACATTACAGTGCCTGTAAAAATCCCTACTGCAGATTCCACACATCCTCATCTGATGGAGTTAGTTTTTTAAAATTAGATACTCTTAAATGTTAGCAAAATCTTTTCATTTCTGCATATAATTCCTGTGGGCAAGTGTGTATTCCTGTTTGTTCTCGTTGGGGCACTGGTTCCGTTTTTGGTACAAAGGCTCTTTTAATAGCTTCCTTAGTACCTCTGACTAGCTATGGCTAGAGTGCTCTGCTACCTTTCCTGATCTACATTTATATTTTGCCTGAGCTATTGTGAGTTAGTGAAATCCCAAGCATTCAGAAAATAGATCCTGTTTTCCCTTTCAGTTGCCTTTTTTGCCAGGCCCATCATTTTAGAGAAACTTTCTCTTTTGAAGTTAAATGTGACCTTTGGACTTCCTTGGAAGTCCAATTTAAATTCGATAGCATTATTCCTGGTCAATTCAGAAACAGGCTTCTTCATCTATCTGTGTGAGGGTAAAGGTGCCAGTTACTGCAATACTTTTTTCCTCCCTGATTTTAAGAGGATGTAGTTCCCATCAACATCAGCCAGCACGGCTGTTTCCAGAAACTCACTTTTCCTCACAGTATTGTGTCAGTATGCATCAGACTCCCCGACTCCAACCAACCACCATATCATGTGATGAAGACTAAGCTTCTCTACAACTAGGCAGGAAAGTTACCATTGTGGCTCTTACAGCATGTTAAATTTCCAGACTTGGTTTGGAAGCTTATGGAACAAAGTATGTGTTCTAACAGCCCCTCGCTTGTTTTGCCTGCTTCCTCCCTATATCTCAAATGCCTCTGTGGTGCTCTAATACAGGAATGTAGAGCAGCTAGTTTTGGCCACTGTTGCCCACCACTTCTGGAGCCTTGCAAAATGTCCAAGGCTCTGGTTTCACACACAATGCCAACCCAGTAACAAGCCATAAGTTCTCTTGCTGGGTTGTGGTTAACAAAACAGGATTGTTAACAGCTGGGTTTCCAAAGCATGACAGCCCAAGAATTTAACCCACTGGATAAATAAACCACATACCATTATATGCCAACTAGCTCATTGTGTGGTTTAATATACCTAACAGAACAAGCTAGGATTTTTTTAAAAAACCAAGAAAATATATTCAGAGAAAGTGTATTTGCAGCTATGCATGATAATTAGGATGTGTTGTAGCTCTCAGAAAAAGTGTTTCTATAATTTAACTTATTTAATTTATTTAACTTAATTTAACTTATTATTTAACTATTATTTAACTATAATTTAACTTATTAAATTTATATAATTTAAATTATATAGAAAAGTGTTTCTATATAATTTAATATAATTTATAATAAGTAGAACATCATTCCTTGGTGTGACTAAATCAAACAAACTTTACATCCGCGTTTTTCTAGACAAGCCATTTATTTGAAATACCAACTATATGTAGGATAAAGTCAGTGTTAACATGCTTCTCAGCAACAGTAGAAAAATAGAACCAGTGAAAACCTTTTTACAACTGTAATGGTACTCAAAAGAGAAATGTATTGTTTTACAATGCATCACACAAGACTAGAATTCAATTCTAGAGGTACCTAAATAAAAATACTATATTTTCTTTAAAAACCAATATGTACAATTGAAGCGTAAACAAGTATACAAAGTACTGGTTATGCAGGTTGTAGAAAAAACACTTGCATAGAACATGAAGTTGGTTTAAGAAAATTTCTGAGCCTTTAGCATTGAAGGCACTTGACTTTATACCAGTAACAGCACAAGAACAACGCAAACATCATGGACAATTAACACCTTCCAGAAGTACGTTATGAGTATAGATACCAATTTTTTTTCTTGTCCAGCTTCCCCCAACATTCCACACAAAACCCTCCACCATATAAACACAGACTTTGGGAGTAGCTGGAATAATAGTGCCATCTGCAGCCCATTTCAAAATAAGTTACATAAGAGATGAAAAATGTTTTTTTTTAATATTCCACACCTAAAACAAAATTATAAAACAGGAAAGGGCCAGTCTGTTCACTTTATCTCTTATTAAAGGCAGAAAAAAGATCAAAGACAAATTAAAACATGAAATGGTACACTACATAGTTGTCAAGACAGTTATTGTAACCACACAGGACAGGATTATGATGCAGCTCTAATAGTATTTTTAGAAGACTTATTTGTAAACACATTGACCAGGAGCCAAGGTACTGTGCCTACATGGAAGCTTTTTGGATTCTCTCTCCTGAAAGCATGCTCCCCTGCCCCCAAAATATTGAAAGTCATCCTCACCAGTCAAGGAGAAGCAAGTCTTTTGCAACTCTGGAAGTAACAAATCAGACACATGTACTGTGTATGCATAGAAACATGGCAGGCGCGCACATCACTCTGGCTTCCAGCCACAGGTTGGAACAGAGAGATTTTCTTCCCTACTAGAATGCACACTAAACCATTTTTGGATCAGATTCTCTACTGCTGCAGCAAAATCAGCCAAGATTATAGTTTTGAGTTTCCATACTGCAGTATCTTTCATCGTATACCAATTGTTCCATAGCAATTATTTCTCTTTCAAAGCCACAGCTGTATGGTTTCTGAATACTTGGAATTTCCAACATCTTATTCAAAAGTGCTTCATGCAAACGAAGGATTATTTCTTTAAGCTTCTAAAACTGTAGTGTGCCTTGAAAAATCAAACAGCATTGCTGTTGATTATGACAATATTGAACAGTTGGAACTTGCTTGTTGCTTCACAGATCCTGCTTTGGGGAGGACAAGAAGACTGAGTCATTGCAGTTCTGAGTAATCATCTGTCCGGCAGGATGTACATATAATTTCATTATGGCACAAGTCATGTTTGATCAATCTTATAACAGATTAGCCCCTTGACAAAATAGCTGCATTTCTCTGATGCTACTGGGCCATGGACACATAAACTAGTCTGTAATTAGCCTCTAACTCATACAGTGTTTACAAACACAGATAATCAATCCAGGACAAAAGAGATGCATTTTCTTATGGAAGCACAGGAAGAGAATAGGATTACATCCTGTATGTGGGTTTAGGTACTTAGCCACCTAGTGGTCCTGCCAAGGTGGCACTGATCTGATCAAACTCCATAAAGAGATGTTACAGAAGAGGATCAAGTTTGAAAGCCAAGGTAAAATCCTATGCATGTTTAGACATAAAAAAGGCCTACCACTTCCAGCAAGCCCCAGCCATGCTTTGAGTTTTAGACCTGACATCTAATTATGCATAAGATTGTATGTTAAATAATCTTAGTAGCAGTTATGTATTTTCTTTTAATGTGTAAATAGCACAATACTTAGTCCTAGAAGTAACAATCCAGAAGCCAGAAACTTGCTGCCTCAGCTCTTTCTCTCTAGGCATTTCTGTATCCCCTTTCTGACTTAATACAATTTTAGTCTTAAGATTGTCTAGCTAGCCCGCCTGTCTTTAGGCCTTCTACAAAATTCTGTCCCTTACCAGGACTGACTTCCATCTACAACACTGTCCTATGCTGTGAAATGGCAACTTACCTGACTTCAAAAGCTAGGAGCCAATATGCATTTAAAAGCTATTCCACAGTGAAAACCATATGTAAACTAAACCTCAAATGAATTACCTCAGCCACCCCTATAGCCACTATTGGGATTGCAAATTTACCATTCACTTCTTACGCACAGAGCCTATTTCCCTATCAACTTGTCAAGTAAATTGGCTGTTGACAGGTGGACAAAACGAGCTACCTGAAATAGAATGTTTTAAATGCAGAATATTGACATGGGCTTTGGGTGATGGTGGGAATTGTTTAGGAGAGCTGGTTTAAAATGAGTGTATTCATATGCAGGAACTATTCTACCCTTTAAGTTTTCTTCACAGCAAAGCTAACATCAAAGAATCATACCAACTTCCCCTCTACCAATGTGGTCTCCAGATGTTTTGGATTGCAGCAGCCATCCACCCCAAGCAGCATGGTCAATGGTCAACGAACTGCAATCCAAACCATCTGGCAGATCACACTCAGCTAAAGCATTGGACAAATTGACCCAGTAGCTTCCCATATTCACTTGTGATTAAGTTGGTTTTAAAGGGAAGACAATTCAAATAATGTTGAATTTATTTTGATGGTGCATGGTCTTTAAACTACTGTCACAGCAATCATTCCATTAATTTGACTATACACACAAAACATATTGTCAAAGGCATAGGATGAAAGGCCTTTCATTTTGTAAAGATGTAATACCATGCTTGAAATTAATGTACAGGTTCTGGATAACATATTCTCATTCCCTCCCTAACACACTCACACTCTCACACATCTCTCTCTGATCTGGAATATATGCTTTCTTTAACAGTGTTTTTCTGCTCAAGGAGATAGACAAGGACAAAACACTAGGCTGTGATGCTCTTTGTTAAAAAAAGAGTTGAGAACAAAAATGTGATTAAACAATGAAACCAAGTTTGCATTTCAACAGAGTCAAGTATCTAAAACAGAGTCAGATTTAAGGTTAATTTTCTGACTGAGGTGTTCAGGTGATGGAAGAGCTGAATTTTGAAGATGATCACTATATCAAGTCAGGCCTTCATTATAAACTACCACACAGTGGTATTGGAAGTTTTCCAGTACTTGCAACTGCTAACTGTTGAAATGGCCATTGTTAGTGGCAACAGACATTTCTAGACTACCAACCCTGTGTCTCTACTTCATATTCATAAAACCACAGAGTCCTAACCATCTTTAGAAACAAAAACAGAAAAAACACATTCAAGAGATTGGAATTAAGAAATTAAGTGCTAAATTTCTTACAGCTAATTAAGCTATAGCTGCTATTCTTCAGTATGTGATTTGTATCCATAAAGTGAGTGATTTGTAGTGTCAAGGAGCACTCAATGACCAAAGCCCTTGTTTTCTTAATTACTGGCAGTACAAAGGCCAGTAATTCTTTGTACCTCTTACTGGAAAGGCAGCTTCCTCTAGCAAAATGGAGCATTAATACCGATATCAGTACTAAGTAGCATCTTCCCACCCTCTTGGACTTATCATGAAACTTCCTCATCTCTGCATACATTTATAAACTTGATGGAAGTGTATACAATAGTCACAATTTGCAGTACTTATATGTATTATAAACCAAAGGGGCTAAGTAAGTGCTTCTTGGAGGTCCCATGTTCTGAAAAAGGATAAGGAAGATCCCAAGGAACCCTAAAGGAGTTGTACTCCTCACTTCCACAGAAAGTCCTAGCCACAAACAATTAGCACTTGCTACAACAGTGTGAAGGCCAGCTGCCATGGTCTTAGTAAACAGAGCATGCAATTTCAGCTGGATTCTTGCACTAGTGGTAGACCAGGAAGGCTTCAGACCTAACCAGAGCAGTTACTTAAATGTGCTGTTCTTTGGAATTCCTATAGTCATTCAAAAATAAAGACAGACATTGTCACCATCTTATAAGAAAATACATCTCAAGTGTGCATCCCAATGCACAAAAGAAACCAGGAGGTGAAAGATTTCATTAAAAAAAGCCACCCAGAAGAGTATGAACATACAGTCCTTTAAAATATGACAGTAAAAGTTTAACATACTAATACAAAAACGAATAAAATTAATGTACAGGTGCAAAAGGCTACCTTTTTTCAAGGTGCCAACTAAAATATACTTTTTAAAAAAGAGGATTAACAAAATCTGTTCAGATCACAAACCCTGAAGCAGCATTCCAAATAAACTGGTAGCATGCCATCTCTAATGAAGCCATGTATATACAATTTTTAAAAAATGATGCAGTGGCTGGCATTTAAATGAACTTGCCCAAAAAATGTCAGGCAGAAAAGATGGCAAAGACTGGATATTTCACTACTCTTAGGCACAGAGAAGAAGTGGAGGTGATTTTCAGAGAGCAGACTTTTTGTATAGGAAGTCTGGTTTGCTTGGAGACCTCCTTCCTCTGCTTACGGCCTCTTCCCTTTCAAGATCTGTGTTTCTCTGTGCTTCATGATCCAGGGGATCGCTGTCTGCCAATCTCCGGCTGGATTGCTCTTCGTGGATCTCTGAGCTATATGCAGGTGGCAGAGAAGGTCGGCTAGAGGTGAGCCCATAGGTTAAGTCAGTTTCTATTTTTGTTCGTCCTCTTGCATGAACTGGGACATTCCCCATGTGTTCTTGGGCAGCCAATGCCAAGTCCAACCGCTGGGGAGGTTGTTCTAAGACATCGAGGTGTAGAGGTTCATTCTTTTGTCTGTGTGGATGCCCTTCTTGAGAAAGTGCATACTCTCTCCGAGAATCTTCTAGCTTTTTAGGAGAGATGTGATTAGTTAAGTGAGTGGTCTTTAAGCCACTGGGTGATGTTTTATTGTGGCTGTACAAATCTGGGCCAAAATAGATGCCTTGAGAAGGTGAAGGAGTGTGCCTGCCAGGAGCAGGAGTTGAAGGCCTGCATGCAGCACTAGAGAAGTCATATAAATCAGGATATTCCTGCTGATTCTCTCTAGTATCCACTTTTTGTTCAACTGAATGTTTTTTCCGGGAACTGTGTATGTGCCTGGTCTGAATGCATGAAAGGTGTTGAGGTGGTCCTGGCCCTACCTCCAAAACAGGCTGGCTCAGTTCTGTGTCGACAGTCAGCTCTGGCAGTCTCCTGTCCTTGAGAGACATTGTTGACACACCCATAGCAATATCTGGCATCAGTTCATTGAGCACAGGTTGAGTACTCTGGAAGGAGAGAACACCCATTTCAGCTTGAAGTATATACCTCTTATGTTCTAGGTACAAGCACACAATCCCACCTCCCCACTCCCCAAGCTACTACAGAAGTTCACGATTACAAAAGACCACATCTAACACCTTGGAACTTGAGCTCCATTTGTTTGCTTAATTTAAGAACCAAAATTTGTCTTAGTATTAGCAGATGAGTGTAGGCAACAGCAGTTGGCTACTGAGAAAAATTATGTGTCTACTATTTCACACCTACACCTTATAGCCTGGCTTTATAGTAGTAGAGTACCATAAAGATTAATTTCTTGGATCGACACTTTTAGACATTCAAATCGGGCTGGGAAATAGCTAAGGTCAGAAATGATGACAAGCAAATCAGACAGATCAACATCATAGTGGGAAATCATTGTAACTGGAGTGGTCAAAATCTGAAAATCAGAATGACTTAACTTCATGCAGCATATTTGCAATGGGTCAAATAATAAACACACTATTACAGGGTATCAGGGAAAATGCTTTTCTATGCCCAATCTGTTGCACCGAACCTCCTGCAGAAATGCATTCCTAACTAAGGTAACTCAGTAGTCAAATTATAAGAGAATAACTACTGTATAAATTCTCCAAGTTTATTGGAGAGTTAGACAATCAATGTAAAAATGATGTATCAGCCCTTCTGATACTGAGCACGCACTCATACTGCTCTTGATTTAGTGTACTTACACTTCTGAGTACTGCCAATAAAGCCTGGTTGTAATTTGCAAACTAAATCAATGGCAACTATTTAATTCTGAGCATCAGATACCAACATAATTCTACTAAGTCAATTAATTTAACTGCTTTTAAATTGACCAAATTATGGTAGCCCACCTCAAGAAAACTTCCAAAAGAAATGAAAGATTCTCCGCCAATATACAGTACTGTATATTGGTGTTTTGTAAATAAAGGCCACCACCTACAAGCTTCCTAGTACACTCAGAAGTTCAAAACATGTAACAAATGGCAGATAGTTTCCTTTTTGAAATGAGTTAATAGTTGCTGGATTTCAATCCAGCTACCACAAACATGCAGCCACAGTTTGCACAGCTTTGTCCAATAAAATAGTTTCCTTATTACTCAGACAGCCAAACAATATAGATTTAGCAGTAGGAAATTATCTAGAGTTGAGCACAGCTTCTAAAGAAAACTGGAAAGAAGAGAGGGGAAGTGAATCTGACCTATTCCCGTTATGGCAGAGAGATTGCTAACTGAACTTCTAGTAGTCAAGCTGATACTAGGACATTCGCCCAAATGCTACTAGATTAAACTGGCTAACATGCAAATAACCAAATCCTTCCTAATTTGTTCCAACCCAGCTTTTATTGTTGTCTGCAGCATGCCTTATATAACAAGGACATGCTGGCTTTAAATGTCTCGAGAGGAAGCCAATTTTTTATGTTTATACTGGACAGTGAATCTTCTTTGCTTTCAAAGCTGCAGGCCAGCTGCTCAGTCCTGCACAGAAAGAATATGTTTTTGCCATGAAATACTGAACTTTCTTTTAAGTCTATCACATCTATTTAACAACTAGGCACGAGTTATTCATCTAAACACAAGATGATTTAAAAGATCATGAAATAAAAACCCTGAGAGCACCTTGGATACCATCTAGAGTGGTGTCAAGAGCTTGAAAACTAAATATAATCAATAAGAGCAACAGCAAAACTCTGCCTCTACTAAACATATCCTCTCTGGTCTACCATTGTTTGTTTGTTCCCTTGCCATTTGACACTGAAGAGGTTTAGAGAAGACCTAACAAGGAGCACTGAAACTCATTTTTCTGCCTACTTTGCTAGGATCTTTTCTCTACCCCAGAAGTCCCTGCTGGCACAGCCATGGGTGAGGAAAGCTGGAAGTCAATATCCAAAGCATCTGGGGAGATACTGTCTGCTCACTTCTAACCTCTCTTGATATAAACACCTCTGGGGTGTGCATATATGCAACATACTCACCACTTGCTTTTCAGCCGCTACCACAGCTGCTGCTGCGGCAACAGTCTGCCTTCCCAGTCCTGTTGTGTTAGTGCAATCGGGAGGGGTAGCTTTGACACCAGATAAATAGATGGGTGGAGCTCCTTTAGGTGCTGCTCTTGCATGAAACAGGGAATGGTTACAGGGGTAAGAAAAAGAGCGTGAGGGATGTTGGATCTGGGCCCTTTGCTTCCACCCGACTTTGAACTGATTGTGAATTGGAGTAGCAGGTGGATGGTAGGGAGGCGGAGGAGGGGGAAGTGGTGGATGGAAGGCCACAAAAGAGTCGAGTTCTGTAAACATGGTTTCTGCAGTGGGCGTGCTGTTCACACGGCACCGTCCTGACTGCCTCAGTGTCAAATGCGGACTCTCATCCCCAAAGTGCTCGTCAGGAAAGAACTTGTGAGGATTCTGCAACACAAAGACAGAACACAGAGGAAGTGAGAACCTTTGCTGCAAGTCCTGGGCATTGTTGGCCTAGGCCATCTTCTGCAGTATGTGCCCATGTTTGGGTAACAGTGAAATCTGCACGCAGTCTTGTGTTTTCCCAACATTAAAAGCTGAAGAAGGTACCATAAAGAGCAGTCAGCTCTTCCATATATAGACGAATTCCCTGCCGTACTTCTATTCGAACAATATGGGAATGGCAGATTTGTGCTGAAATTACTTTGCAAAGAAAAATGCAAAAGTTATTTGCCATTTTATGAAATACCATGCTCAAGTGCCTGAAGATGTATGCTTGTTTCACTCTTTAAGCAGCATAGAAATTATTAATACATGTTCTTATTTTATAGACCACCACTGGGTGGCTCTCTTCATGGAATAAAGGAAGAATTTTACAATTCTAAATTGTTTTTTCCTTTAAAAACAGTAAGCTCTTTTCCTGTTTAAGAGAGAAAAACATATGCAAATTAGTTTTTCTCCAGAGCACATATTTTGTTTTAGCAAGGTTTCATTAAATGTTGGAGAAGCACTATAAGAGTTTTAGACTACTATTAAAAAGCCGAATATTATTAAATCATACAAATTTCTTTTGAGGGATGGTTTGAGGTGAGTTTATTTTCCTATTCTTAGCTCAATTGGAACTTTCAGAGCAAAGCAGCATAAAGGTGTCCTGAACTGTTCTTCAAGTAGCTATGAGAAAATCTGAGGCATTTCTTCCATAAAACATATCCACTATTAACCTGCCTAAAAATATAGATGGAACATCTATCCCTTAACATTCCTATTTATCCTTCCTCAGCAGTGAATTCATTTAGCCACTCAAAGACTGCTGTACTTTATCTTAAAAGGTGCTTACATATACACACAATGCATTTTCAAGCACATTCAAAAAAATCAGACTGGAGGAAGAGTAAATGTGTGCTACCTGGACCTTCGGTGGTTCATACCTGCAAGAGCTCAGCAGCAGAATCAGAAAGCCCAAATTCCCTCAATACTCGGATCTGAATCTCATAACTGACAGTGGCCCCTTCTCCACAGTTAAGAGCATAAGCCCTTTGCACCTGCTCAGTGTGGCGGAGCTCTTGCAGACGTCTGATCATCTCTTTAACAACAGACAGGTGAGGAACTGGGAAGGAGAAACAAAGAAGATACACGCCGAGTTTGTTGTCTGCACTGCTGCAATGAGCTGTGGCTGAATACAGAGCCACCCAGTCTCTTGCTATTCCTTCCTCATGTGGCCATGAACCACTGATACTGGAGGAAAGGTGTCGGAAAAGCTCGAATGTCCAGACTGCGCATGATCCGTCTGTCCTCTGCCATCAGTCAGCTTACTCCATGAAGCCAAAACCCTGCTCCTTCCCCAACAGACAGGGGCTCTTGCCTCCATCCTTCCACAGTGATTCCTCCTAGCACGTTCTCTTCTGCCTACCACCTACCACTTCCCCTTCAGCCGCTTCTTTGCCAAATGAGCCTTCAAATCATTTTGCCCCATGTACCACTTTCAAAGGCTTGCCAAAGCGATGGGAATTTTCTTTTGTGACTGAAATGTTCGCTATTAGTGCATGCGGGTGCAGGCATGCACCTACGTGCATGAGTGCATAGATGTGTAAGAAATGGAAGCTTTCAGTTTCTCTGAAGTACACCAGAGCGCACACGTGGAAGAACTTATCTGAGGCATCAGTATGGAATCATGTACCCAATGCTCCAGCAATAATGCCATTTGATTTTTCTAAAGCAACCCTAAATAAGGTTCACTTGGCTTGTGTCTTGCAAAGTCGTCCTTTAAACCTTTTATTGTACAATTATGTTGTGATTAGATGCAAGTTATTTTAAAATCTCAGTGATGCATTTCCTCTGGGATGCTACCCACTAAGGGACATTGCTATCCTGCCCTGATCTTCAGAGCAAAAAAAGGACCAATTAAGATCATGAAGACTGAAATACCCAGTCAAAATATGTATCAAGGAGGGAATTAATATTACCTTACACCGTCATACGTTCCATCTGTTAACCCACTTTTACATCACTTTGAGACAATATACAGACTTAAGTTTTTTTGTCAAACATCCATGCCCATCATTCTGAAGAAGATGCTTATACTGTTCCTTTATAGGCCCTTCCTACTAAAATCTGACTCCAAGGTGAGCAGAAGCTGACTTCCAGAAAGTCATGCAGGGCGCTCTCCCATAGACCATATTATGAAAATCTAATCTCAGGGTTTTATAGAGGTTATACTGAACCTCTTTCACAGAAACAGAAACAGAGCGAGTCAGAAGGGGCCTCCCAGGCCATCTAGTCTGACCTCCGGCTCCAGCCGGCTCTGCTCACGACATGCCCACCATGTGGACGTCCAGCCTATCCTTGAACACCCGCACCGATGGGGCCTCAACAACCTCTCATGGAAGCCCATTCCACACCCTTGGGGTCCTAACTGTCAGGAAGCGCTTCCTGGCATCTAAATGGAACCTTGGCTCCCTGAGCTTTGTTCCGTTGAAGCATGTCCTGCCTTCCTCTGAAGGGAGAACAGCTCTCTACCCATCTCCATACTGAAAATCAAGATCAAGCGAGCATTTGCCCTTCTGCTCCACGGGAGGTTTCTGTCCTCCCTGAGCTCGCCTTAGGACACCTGCATTATGGTTTGACAGGTGTACCGCCCTAGTCAAACTTCCCACCTGACGCTGTCCCTGGAGCAGGTCGTGCCCGGCCTGTGCCGGGCGCTTGGAGCCAGAAGCGAGAGCCCCTTGGGGCTCGCCCACCCTGCCTCACCAGGTAAGTGAAAAAACAATAAGTGATGGTGGAATTCGATTTTGGAAAAACTCTCATGGACTACTTGCAGAGAAACTCCACTATTTAAGACTGCTTAAAAATCCCTGTGCAAGCTTGTGATGTAAGAGGAGAAGTAGCAAATGTTATTTGTTTCTCCAGGTGGGCAATCCTATTTTGCCACCTGTACACTACCACAAGCATAGAACCATGCAATTAGTTTGCATTTTGGAGTTGACAATTCCAACAATTTCTCTGCATAAGAACTATATGTTGTAAGAAGCAGTTTATTTGCTTTATTCAGAACTTGCAGAAAGTGAGGTGAGAATATCCAGCACCTGATATTCAGTTCTGATTTAAGTTATTTTAATTTTTAAGATGTTGAACAAATGGCCAGGATAGCATGTCAGGATAGCTAACATTTTTTCATGTTAGCTATCTCAGTAGCACTTGTAAAGTGAAGAGTTTGTTTTTCATTTCTTCTAGCATCCTGCACCGTCATATATTTTGGTGGTATGTGATTAAACTAACTTGTAATTCATTTCAATTAGTGTATCAAATCTGAGTATCTCAACTGGTATTCATCATTCTTTTATTCTGCAATATTCTTATTCAGAAAAGGATATCCTTTGAAAGCAAAAGCCTTAAATCAGTCATCAGTAAATATTTAGAAATGAATCAAGAACTAGAACTAATTTTTAATGCACATCATGGGGATGCATTATTTTATCATTGCATGTTCAAAATCTATTTGTGCAACCATGTTGGCTTAATTTGATGCTGCTTTTTTAAAACGGAAGCTCAAGCTAACCAACAAAGGCTCACAGAACTCACAAAAACACATAAAAGGACTACATGAACCAACACACTGACCTGCTGCCTCAAAACATGCACTCACAAAAACACATAAAAGGACTGCATGAATCAACAAACTGACTTGCTGCCTCAAAACATGCTCTAATGAAATTCTGATCATGTGGCTTCTTTACTTAACAACATTTGATTTCATTTGACAGCAACATTTAAGTATAGATCCCTATGCATAACAACATTTAATATTATGTCCAATATGCAGTTTATGTTCCAGCTTATATACATACCTGGAATTTCATTGGCTACAACTGAAGGAGGATTGGACTGATTACTGTTTATTTGCTGGTGATTTATCATATGACAGCACTGTGGAACTGCATTGTTTACCATGTAGAGAGTATCTGGTACATTGGACATTCTAACCATCCGTAAACGAACTAGGTCTGTCTGTTCCACCATCATCTCATCCAGAACTGACTGAAAGAGTACAGGTGAAAACAAAAGAGTTTACTAAACATTTACTGGCATCATAAATTAACACTGCAGATATATTTTTTATTTTCCAGATGAAAAGTACAAAAATCCCAGATCAGAATAACTAAAGCCACATTTACTGAATTTGGTTCAGAAATATTCCTTTCTTTTAAATCTCAAATATCATATTCTTCTCATGGTTAAAAAAGGAAAGCTTTGAGTCTTCTGGCTCACTGATCTTTGACTTTGTTCATAACTTGATCAGATCATGAAAAGAATTGCAACCACTTCACCCCTACTTATTCTGTACTAGTATGAAAAAAGAACACAGAGAGGCTACTTCACTGGCCCAGGACTTTATGCCTTAATTCCATGCACACATATTGCTTGATGGCTCCCTGCACATAGCCAGGAGCAACTCTTATGCATTAGGGTCCTGGAGATGTAAAGTTCTTTTCTAAGACATTTGAAGATCTCTCCATGTAAGGAAGAGCGGTGCACACTAACCTCCATATAAAATCTCATCTAGTGTGTTCGCGAGCATAAGGTGTCTGCATAACTACTGCAGGAATAGAAAGGGGGACAGAAATCTCTACCCACAAGAAATGTGATGGTTGTTTCCAAGTTGGCATTCAGGTCATCTGGAGCTTCCTCACATAGAAACAAAAGCTGTATCAACTAATGCAACCAAACTTCTCAGTGGCCAGAAAAGAGCCAAGGACAAGAAGAAGAGGAGAAAGAAAAGCAAGCAAGCAAGCCCTTGTGATGTGTACAAGAGGTAGAATAATATTGTGTGGGAAAGGGTTCTGAAAACCAAATGTACTGGGGCCACGAGCACAGATATAACAGAGAATTATGGGACCTCAGTTTAGCTGAAAGTCTGATCTCTATGGACAGTGATAAGTCTATGTCAACTTGGGAGAAACAGAGAAGTGTTCAAAGGGTATTCATCTTCACCTATGGGTCTGATCTGGATTTTAAGTCATGTTAAGTTGGATATATGCGCACTCTTTAGACCAAGGAAAGACAACAAAATGTTTTGGATTACAACTTCAATAAAGCTCAACTTGCATGGCAGTAGTTAGGGATTATAACACCTAGGAAAGTGTAAGAAATCTGCTCTGAGAGTGAGAATCTATCAGATTCTTTCTGCTTAGTTCCCTGGACTCCAGCCCAGTTTTTCGTAGCTGAGCTTTGTGCTGAGCACACTGAGCTTTTGTGTGGGCACCTACCACAAAACCAGACAGCACAAATACTGTGCAAGTGGAGTTCCTCTTCTGTGCATGTAACTTGTGGGCTTTGTATGTGCTGCACATGTTGCAGAGGGAAACTACTGGGTTGCACAAAAGGAATTCTGCTAGAGTTCACTGACTTCATTTTAGCTCACTTCCCAAGCCAGGGCCAAGCATAAGAATAAAATCCAACAAACAGTAGAGAATGAGACTCTGGGATCATCACAACCCTAATAACAAAGCTTTTAGGGCACACCAAATTGCCTTCCCCTGCTTTAGATTGCTAATCTCTTTTGAACACCATTGGATTAGAGAACTGCAGAGCACCTTAGTCAGATGTGCTACAAGGCAGGCAGGTTAGTGCATTTGTTGTCAGGTTAGTCACGAGGTAGGAATTATCACAGGTACAAAGTTTCTTTATTACCTTAGCCTCTTCCACATAAGGTGAAAACAACCTTGGTCTCACATAAATTCCTGAATTTTTTTGTCGGAGCCACGCATTTGACTTGCCACCCTCAGCTGTTGGCAACATGTCTGAAGGAGGAGTACTTATGAGACCCCTCTTCATCTTTAAAAGCAGAAAATAGACATTTTAATCAAAGCATGCACATTTCAATTTTTTTCTAGCTTCCATAGCAAGCTACTTGGAATAGATTTGGGCAGAATGACAATAAAACCATCTGAGGCAGAATCACCAAGCCAGATCCAAATGTTATCTATGCCAAGTTTTAAAAACCCTGCTGAGATTCACACTGTAACAGCTATCAAACTATCTGCAATGGCCTCAAAAACAAATGAAAGATGTATCATGGTTACATAATATCCTAAAGCAAAGATCTATCTGTGCAGCAAGTTTCTCTTGCCAGCCACACTCTTCTCAGACTATGCCCCTTGATGGCTCCGCTCCCCACATTTACTCCAAAGCCAGCACAGAAGATGACTTGGCTGCAAAACGGGGATAGAATGGTCTGTTTCACAACCATATGCAAGTTCTATAGGAAGTATAAAGATATACTTACAGAATCAGTCAGCACTTCACTGTTCATAGGCAAAATATGCTCAATACGGACAAACGGTAGCAGAGGAGAAAGGATCTCTTTTAGTTCCTCAATGTCAAGATCACGCCTCTTCACACCTCGTTTGTTCACACTGTGAGCTGTGCCACTCAGCAAGTTAGGCTCTGTAAAGGGGCGGCCAAATAGTTTCACTTAACTGTTTTGCACTTCTGCCACATCAGAACATATAAAGTTGGCTTATTTATTAGTTCTATTATTATTGCTTATTATTTATTCACAATACTTATATGCCACCCAATACACTTTCTTCAAGAAGTGTATAATTAAGATTAAAGGAAATAAATTCAAACTTAAAACCATAAAACCTAAAACAAGATAAACCTGAAGCAAAAGACAATACCAGTGTGAAGTCCAAAACATCAGACTATCATAAATCGCAAATACTAGGAATATCCAAAAGAGAGAAAAAAGGAGAAAAATCAAGAGACAGTATTTTTTTTTTAAAAATGGAAAAACTAATTTTCTATTAGACTGGCATGGAAAGTCTATTACCTAGACTTTTTTCAGAACTAATCTGTATCTAATCCCAGAATCACCTTTGAAATCATACTGTTTTCTGATAAGAGAATCCTAGTACAGGTTTGAAAAAAAGAAAAGAAAAATGCCAGTTCAGAGCCTTGGCCATTAATAAATTAACACTGTAGACTGTATTGTACTGGTTATATATTTGGGGTTCATTTAAATATTGGCCTTGCAAACCAGATTGTCAACAACAGCCTGGGTATCCCTAGTTGAACATTACAATTCAAAGACAATAATGTTTAGCAAATTTAGCAGCCTGGTTATCGTTTGGTTGGTACTACAACCTGATGTTTCTAAGGGTAGGATCAACAGAGTTGATACACATTCAGAAAGAAATATGTGGATATCTAAATATGCTATGGATAAAATCTTCAGGGATTCTGCATTGAATGGTGGGGGCAGGTGGACTGAACACTGCAGGAGATGGAGACAAAGCTTGACAGCCTAAAACTGGGTGGGCAACTTGTGGCCCTCCAGATATTTTGCCTACAACTTCCATCATCCATCATTGACTATGCTGGCTAGGACTGATGGGAAATGTAGGTCAAAGCAACTGAAGGACCACAAGTTGCTCATATCTGGGATAAAAAATGCATTTCACTGAAATACATTTTGGGAAATTTAAAGATTAGGATTCTCCCTCCAAAATGTACATATAAAAATTAATAAAAGGTGCCACCAGATGATAATTGTAATATATCCCTCCAGTGTTCCTCTTTGAAGTGTCCTATTCATCAAAACTAATGAAGAACTTGTTATGAGTAGTTCAGTGTGAGTGCTGGAGTTCTTATGTCTGCGGGAAATTGCAGGATCTCAGTGAGTTACTTTAGGCAGGATTTCACAGGCGTATCATCAATTACGGGACTGAGGTATAATCCACTGAGAATATCTGCTGAAGGAAAAGATGCCAAGGGGACATCTGCTGCGACCCCTTCAGTTCAGAAAGGCTTACTCTGTAACTCTCACAGAGAATACAGGCTTTGCCTGCAGAGAGGAACATCCAGGTTCAGGCCTTGGCTTTCCCAGTGAAGAGTGAAAGTCAGAAGTAGATCCAGTCTGAGCAGACATGAGCGAACTAGATGGGCCAATGGTCTTTCCCAATATAAGGTAGCTACCTATACACCAAGGTTACTTTATAGCAAAGGAACTAGACTTTGTTCTGCTTTTGGAGCTTAAAGGTATCGGTTTTTTTTCATAAGAGAGCCAGTGTGGTGTAGTGGTTAAAAGCATGGGACTGGGACTCAGACGATCTGGGTTCTAGTCCCTGCTCAGCCATGGAGCCAACTGGGTGACTTTGGGCCAGTCACAGACTCGCGGCCTGACCTACCTCACAGGGTTGTTGTTGTGAGGATAAGATGGAGGAGGAGATGTAAGCTGCCTTGAGCCCTTTGTAGGAAAAAGGCAGGATATAAATCAATCAATCAATCAATCAATCAATCAAAATAGATAAAATCAGGTATACCCATTAAGAAGGACTTACCCCGGTCTGCTATTCTTTTCATCAACTGATGTTCGCCCCATTTAACAAGGTACTTCAGGACATCTTGCTCACTTGCCTATTAAATATGCATTAAAGACATTGTATGAACAAACTCAGTTTTTGGCCATAACCCTGTATTACTCAGTGCACATAGTTCTTAGATCAACAGTAACTGAAAGCCAACCAAATCACTCAACAGAAAGAAGCTTAAGATCCAACCTACTACTCTTACCAACAGCTTCTCAGAAAATGTATTCCTACCATCATTCTTTTTACAAAGGGACTTTTCTCATTAACTAAGAAAAATAAGCTTTTCCCACCCTTCCTCTCATGTAATCAGCACATCAATTTACAATTTATTTAATAATTCACCCTAAGTGTTTAAAGGGTCTGAGCCAGCTTTTCTGCAATGAGACTTCCCATGATGTGCTGGATTTCCATCACAATCATCCCCAAACAGACAACACAGCTGGTGGGCACCAAGTTGAGGAAGGTCAATCTAAATAATATATAAAATATTGTAATAAAAATAAGTGAATTATGCAAGTACTGCAGTAACTTTTAAGATAGCCTTCCCCAACTTGGTGAGATCAAGATGTGTTGGACCACCATTCTCGTCATCCCCAACCAAGATAAAAAGAACTCAGAAGAAGTAAGAACAAAGGCCTACAAATGTTGGGTAGTTTACCAGCCAGCCATTATTTGTGATTACCCCTGTTGAGTCTTCTGATATGGGCAGAAAATTCAGGAGAAAGGAGCACAGTCACTTCTAACTTAGGCAAAGCATGAAGAAGAAAAGAAATGGTGAGTATCTCTCTACCTGCTCAAAAACTGCAATCCAGTGTATGGACCTCTTCACACCTGGTGTTCTGCTCACTAGCTGTTTGGGTGCACTTAGTGCTGGCAAGCTTGCAAGTGAATGTGCACGTGCTTCAGCAAGACTCTCTCTAGCTCACTTTTCCTTGACCTGGTGCCATCCATATGTTCTGAACTGCTATCAGTCCCAGCCATCATGGCTAACTGTCAGGAATGAGGGGAGTTGTACTCCAAAACATCTGGAGGGCACCAAGTTAGAGAAGGCTGCTGTAGCTGCCTCGCTGTACCTTCCAGTCTATCCTAAGGTGGGAAGTTGGCCCCTCCTCCAAGCCTTCTGGAAGCGTAGGTTTATTCACTTGCCTCACATTATGCTTTGGAGACACTTGGAAGCAACGAGTCCAGTAAACACCAAGACACTGGCCCTCTTCTCTCTTAAGTCTTCTCAATGTCCTAAAGGATGCCAGGGTGGAGAAGGGTCAGGGCTGGCCACAAATAATGGCTGGCTACTAAAACCAGTTCAGTGGCTTAACTTAAACAATATGTGGAAATATAACTGGAACTCTATCTTTTTAATTGAAACTGTATTGACAAAAACTGAAGTTTTTGTTGACTGTTATCAGCAAAAACTGATTCCCTTATTACATGCCCAAAGCCAAAAAGCATTCAAGGATATATTAAAATGCATTTAAAAATGCTTTCTCTAAGATGAGGCAACAGGCCCCAGTGGAGTTTTTTCCAGTGATTACATTGCAGAATAAACTTGTGAGCACATTGGCTGGTTGAAATGAACAATTTTGTTCATCGTTTACAAGCAAAGTATGCTTTAATGATGAGCTAGATTTCCTCTTTTTCGTCCCAAAACATATGTTTTTAGTGTGAGAACTACTATATAATTTCGATAAAGCTCTGAAAAGGCAAGACAAAATTAAACCTCGAAGAGTTTCACTTAAAATAATTTGCAACTGCTTCTAGACTATTATTAGGCTTTCAAGCAATAGCTTATACTGCCAGTTTGGGTTGCATTATGTGCCAAGAAAGCAGAATACTTCGTTTAATCACTACCTCTGGTAGAGGCTTGTGTGTACATATGCCACTATAAAGAGAGAAAGAGCCCATTCTACACATGCTTATTCAAGTAAGGTTGTTCTTTTTGGTGCAATCAAGATTTAAGATCAGTGCACTTCTACACTACTGGCAAGCAATTAACAAAGCTTAGTTCAGGATGTAACTAGATGCAGTTTGAGAGAAAGAGAGAATTTACCTGTAAGAAGTCGGACTGGATAGCTATCTGTAGGTGTTCTTTGCTGAGTTCATAAAAGACATCTGAAGCCATGACCTGGGTAAACTCCTCACAGAGGAAATGCAGTGCTTGGCGGTGTACCCACTTGGAGCCGTACGGCTGAGAACTCCACTTGAGAATGGCAATTAAGGTGTCTAGTGAGATGCTTTCAGCAATAATGTCCTCACAGCCTACAAAAAGCAGAACACCCAATGGCTCAGTAAGGGTTAGCTGTTCAGGAATGAATAAAAGCTGCCCTTGTTCAGCTGAAGTACCATCTCAGCTGAAACTGAAGTACACAACTACAATGTACAGCCCTCTGGTACAACGGTAATTTTAGGGATATACTAGCTATTTTGGTAAGAAGGTTCCTGCTTGAGCTCTTTGAGAACTCTAGGATGGATAGCGTTTCGAATGGATGACTTGCTGACTGTGTGTGTCAAAAAGGTTGAGAATTTCATCTTTTGTCACTACTATCTGTCCGAATTCCGTAGACTCCCTTTTGTCCAGTTGGCAAGATTGTTTTCCATATGGCATTCAGTGCAATACACTGGGTAGTCCCAACATCCTTGCTGGCTTTCTACCGTCGTACTTGGGTTTGTTGGTAAAACAGGCTTAAATAAGCCTGAAAAATGTAGGGGATTTTGGATCTTATCAAGTTCCTTTGTTTATCCTACTGGTGAGAGCAGTGTATTTACTTTTCTGCAGTTCCTTGCACCCTGCCCTCTTGACTAGCAAAGGGGGCAGAGGCCCACACCCTGGCTTCCTTGTCCTGTCACCAAATTCACCCTGTTGCTCTATTTTCATGCAGCATTCAAAGCCATGAATACTGCATACATCGGATTTAAATGAGTGATTCAATTCAGTCTCTTTTTCTTAGTGATTTAAATAGGGGTGAGCAGAAAGTAGATGTGTTGAACTTCATTCAGCTCCCAGTATTCCTGACCATTCAACATGCTGGCAGGGGCTTTTGGAGCTCTATTTTCTGTCAATCCCAGTGTAAGAAAATCTACCCTGCACAGCTCTGCTAAAATGTTTTTCTCTGTGCCATCCAAGGTAGGGAATAAACTAAGGGAATGTAAAAGCTCCAGTAATATAAAAAGAAGTGTACACAATTTATAAGTGATAGAAATGAGAAAACTGCTATCTAAAGCTACATTGTGGAAGTCATTGCTGCCAACACTAGAACATAATGTTCTTCCGAGCCCACAAAAGGACTAACAATTGTCAGTGTATTTAGTTTGATCCAATACCCATATTACATGACAGTGTTGATACATAGGCTATGTTTCTTGCCATGCTTTCCTACTTTAAACAAGTAGTGTTCATGCTGCATGCGTAAGTCTTTGTTAAAAGTGAGAGAAGACAAAGCTTAATCTGAATTCAAAAGAAATTACACTAACTGCAAAAGACAAATGCATTACCACATGGAAAAAACGGATCACTAAGTGTGTGTGTTATGGAAAATAATAGCTGGAGACACTCTTCAACGGGATACTAACAATTTAAGGCTAATACCCTGCTTATATTCATCTGAAATTCACTGATGTTAATAAGATCTTGCATAAACCTTTTTAGAATTTGAATATTTAGATTACACTACACTTCAGGAAGTTTATGATACAGAAGTCCAACCTATCCCAGCAATCAACTTCTATGTCAGTTTGAAGACTTTCATTAACATCAACTGAGCTCTTAATAACATAAGAAAAATTCTCCTTTTAGAAGATAAACACAGCCTTCACTGCAAAAGTAAAAGCAATGGTTTCTAAATTAATTGTACACCCCTAATTTAAATTAAAGTATCTGCCCCCAGAAAAAAATATTATTGAAATCCAGTATTTTACACCAGCTTTTTCATTTGGTACTAACAAATGCACCTTTGTTTGGCTATATTTGGTCTAGTTCATATGGCCCACTAACTAAACACACGGGCAGCTAAGAAATATATTCTGACTGATGTTTTCAGAAATCCTGTGACAATCTGGTGATATGCAGATGGTCAGGTTCACTGCACAAAAGGCAGCATCTCTATAGGCAGCTACCAAGCAGCTCCCTTGCTGAACACTTATTTTGGTACAATCAGTTTGCTGTATTGCCAGCTTCAAGAGGAAGAAAACCTTCCAACAAGCACTTGGGGAGTGAAACTTGCACCTGAACAGCCATAATCTACTTCTTTCCTCTTGACTTTGGCACTTGCCTAGAAGGCCCAGAGCAAGCAGTCTTGAAGGAGAAACTGTGGACCAAAAGTCCTGTTCCAAAATGTTCTAAGTAATTAAAATAACTATATTCACTTCACTTTTTTCTTCACTGAAATCACAATTTTTAAAAGAATCAAGCATTTAATACCTATAGATTTTTAGACTCTGGTTTTCAGAATTAAGTCAGACCTCTAAAAATTGGGACTCTCTAATATTCATTCAAGTACCCTTTGAGTCTGAGAGGAAATCCTTTTCAGTCCGGCTTCAGACCCGGGTACAGTACTGAATCTGCCTTGGTCGCCCTGTACGATGACCTGTGCAGGGAGAAGGACAGGGGGAGTGCATCCCTGTTGGTTCTTCTGGACCTCTTGGCGGCTTTCGATACCATCGACCATGATATCCTTCTGGATAGGCTAGTGGGACTGGGGGCACTGCTTTGCAGTGGTTCCACTCCTATCTCAACGGTCGATTCCAGAAGGTAGTGCTGGGGGACTATGTCTCTGTGCCATGGCAGCTATGCCATGGAGTACCACAGGGCTCCATTCTATCCCCTCTGCTATTTAACATCTATATGAAACCGCTGGGAGAGGTCATCAGGAGGTGTGGGCTGCGGAATCATCAGTACGCTGATGATACCCAGCTCTACCTCTCATTTTCCACTAATCCAGGTGAGGCAGTGGCTGTGCTGAACTGGTGCTTGGCCGAGGTAATGGACTGGATGAGGGCCAACAAACTGAAACTCAATCCAGACAAGACGGAGGTCCTGTTGGTTGGCGGATCGGGTTTCGGAGAGGGTGGATTTGACCTGGTCCTGAATGGTGCAACACTCCCTCTTAGGGACAAGGTCCGCAGCTTGGGAGTACTCCTCGACCCGGAGCTTTCTTTGGAAGCTCAGGTGACAGCGGTGGCGAGGAGCGCCTTCCTTCAGCTTCGGCTGATTAATCAGCTGCACCCCTACCTGGAGTACGACTGCCTGGCGACGGTGACACACGCGCTGGTGACTTCCCGCCTAGACTTCTGTAACGCGCTTTACGTGGGGCTTCCCCTGAAGACGGTCCGAACACTTCAATTGGTGCAAAATAGAGCTGCCAGGTTGCTGATGGGGACGGGGCGTTATGCTCACATGACTCCAGTCCTCCGTCAGCTTCACTGGCTGCCCATTGAAGCCCGGGCCCAATTCAAGGTGTTGGTTATGACCTATAAAGCCCTAAACGGCTTGGTCCTGGCTACCTGAACGAGCCCTTACGTCCGTATATGCCCGACCACCCCTTGAGATCTGCGGGAGAGTCCCTTCTCCTGGAACCCTCCATGAAAGAAATTAGGAGAGTAAGTACTCGGAGGAGGGCTTTCTCTGTGGTGGCACCCAACCTATGGAATTCACTCCCCAAAGAGGTCCGCCTGGCACCGTCGTTACTCGTTTTTCGGTGCCAGGTAAAGACCTTTTTATATAAACATCATTTTAATTGTTAAAATATATGATCTGGCCAGGGCAACTTCTTCTTCCTTCTCTTTCCTCCTCCTATATTCTTTATTTACTTATTTTATACTGTTAATTTTAATTTTATATTATTATATCTCAGTGTATTTTTTGTATTTTTGTATTTATTGGTAATTTATTATGTTCTATTGTATTTCAATGTATCTTATTGTGTTGTAAGCCGCCCCGAGGCTTCGGCAAGGGGCAGCATAGAAATGTTAATCATCATCATCATCATCATCATCACCACCACCATGAAGCTACTAATGTACCATTGCCCTTTCTCATTCCTGGAACTTTAAAGGACCAAGACATCATCACTTGTATTCATCCTGTGACTTCCAACCACAACTTCCATGTTTGGCTTACTTACTAAGAAGAGCAAGGCAGAAAAGTGCCACATTGCCATCTAATTAATACTGCTAGTACCCCTCCAACAGGAAGCACCTACTGTGTGAGTGGACATCCACTACAATACCCCACTGAACAAAGATCAACTAACTATTCATAGAGTGGAGAGGACCTTACAATGATTAGTTTATATTGGACCACCCTTTCTTTTCAGCAAACTGGGAAAATAGTTACATTTGTTTTATGGAAGGGAAGTCATAATCTTGCAATTCATGCAGACAAAGTTGTAAAGTAGAAGTGTCTCTGCATGCATTTTTTAACAATCTGCCAATGGAATAATCTGAACAAACCAACTGCCAAATCACTTGAAGTACAACAAACAAGATGGTTAGCTTTCACACTAAAATTTCAATCTCCCCAACAACATTGGATTTCTAGTCCACCTAATGCATTTTACTTCAAATCACAGAAGCACTAAAATTTGGGAATTGCTTTCGATAAATGCAGCAGTTTGGCTGGATACTTAACTTCAGAGTATCTGGCAGGGGTAGGATGGGAGTGAAATAATTACTCTGAGCCAAGTTACTGAAGTTAAATGACATTGCAAGTTAAATTATTCTTCACACTGCTGCCTCCCTCAGTGCTACCTGAATGTGATTCTCTTGAGGCAGATTGAGTAACTTTGATTTATTAAGTCAAGTAATTTGGAAATGATGAATGGCAGCTTCTTTCAAATATTAACAGTGCAGTATCTGAATAAAGTATTACTCACAGCAAGATCTGTGATCTCTATTTCCACTAAGGAAATAAAAGCTGGTATCACTAAACACACATTTTGAATTAAAACCATCATTGTTTTGCCAAATCATGAAAAAGGATTTGTGACAATTACAGCACTTATAAAGTCTATCTGATTGCTGTTTTTCTAAACAGAGAATAAACTTACCAACAAGACATTATAGGAATGAAAGCTAATTTGGTGGGTAAATAGATTAAAAAGGATTTTAATTTCAAATAAAATTGTTGTGCTACTAAGATATAGGCCAAGGGTTTCAGTTTCATGAGTGCTGTATGTTATCACATAATTTCCAGTGAAAAGTTTATACACATTCTCCTATTTTTAAAAAAAGAGTTAAAGTATGCCAAGCTTGTGTGTTCAGAC